CATGTTCATGAGCTCCCGACGACCCCCACAGCGGGTCTGCTTCAAGTCTCAAAAGGAATATTAAAGCACGCCGGTTTGGCGAAGTTGCTCTTGCAAACACAGAGGCGACTTTTAACGTGCTGCTCAGGCAGGGAAAGATCCGCTTAAACCAGCAGCTCCTACTGACAAGAGGCCGGGCTCTTCTTCACACTTGTGGCACGGCAAGCTTTACAGACGGAGCATTATGACAGCAGCACATAGCCGCGGTGAAAGGGAGAGAAGCCGCCTCACGTCGCCTGCTGCTGCTGTATGAACCACCGCACAAACCACCGTTAGCTGATAGCCGAGAAGCTACCGCTAGCTCGACGGGGTGACCACCTTGAAACCGAGGACAAAAATACCCCCAAAAAGCCGTGAAGCCGCTCGCTGACATGCACCGGTACGACGCGGCTTCGCTCTGCGCGGCATCCGAAGAGAGGCGCTTGAGTAAAAGTTCCCCCGAAGTCAAGCCGGTGGGCTTAAAATCAGTTTGTAGTCCACTGGTAGTCCGGAATGAAGCTGCGAGCCGCCATCGCCGCCTTGCCGTCACTTCCGTGAGGAGCTGGGCGCGGCGACGCGCATCGCGTCCACGTGGAAAGAAAACATACGGACGTGGACGAGCGAGTGCGTCGAACCATAAAATTGAACCAAAGATTAACCTGATTTATTTAACACCTTACCTTTCTTGTGTCAGCGGAATAAGAGCAGACTTAAACACAACAGAGAATTTAGTAAAAGTGACGTCGCTGAAAATGTACTTGACACCGAGAGTAGCCTCGTTTAGTTGACCCACAAAATATTAAAAGCTGCCTCAGTGTCGTGTTTTACATTGGCCTTTACTAAAAATATTCAGCAGGGAATTGAGCTCGCCGTCTTTCAAAAATATTTTGTGTTTTTGAAAAATTTAAACTACTTATGGTTTTTTGGTAACTGTAATTAATAAAACCTATCAATTGAACATGATCCTAAATTGATTTCCTTTTTATATGCGTTCTTTGGCTTTATATTGGTTTATTAAAAAAATGTTTAATTGTCATATAAAGCATTTATACAAGTTATTTCAATTAAATGGCATTTGTTTACAGATTAAAACAGCAAGATTTTGTTTTAAATATTGGTTGCGCACACAAATCTGGTGTTTACAGAAAAAAACAATTCCTAGAAAATTGAGTGGAAGGAAGAAAGCTATTTCTGCCTCCAGAGAGGAGGTTCACTTTCCAGCAGTGAACAATCCTATTCATACAGTGAGCTATGATGCAGTTGTTGAGATCAAAGCATACCCCTGGGTTGAAGTGGCCTAGTGAAAGTCAAGTCTTAAAACCCATGAAGAATATTTGAGAAGCCTTGAAAGTTGATGTCCACAAAGGTTTACAGTCTGATTGAGCTTCAGCTGTTTGCAAAAAGTAGGTTTCAGTCTGTAACTGCTAAAGCTGGTACAGAAACACGCTAAAAGTCGTGCAGCTCAGGATTCTGAATACATATGGATGCATGCAAAAATATTTAATGTTCTTTTGGAGTCTAAAGTATTTCTGAATTTGAATTTCTCCTGAAAAAAATTAAAACAACTAATGAGACTGACAGCAATGCAACATCCGAGAGCAGTAGAAAAACTTAGAGTACATATATAATCATTAGTTCTTTGAATAACTTTGATGGTATTTCCCCATGACACTCTTTTTTATTTTATGTACTACTGTCAGAGAGGAGAGGATAAACAGAAGGCACCACACTAATTCATAAAGTACATCTTTCTTAAAAGCATCAACAACTTAGATTAAAAAAAAGTTTGTATCAGTTGTTTATTGATTTGAAAAACTAAACATAGCAAAAAATAAAGTGTGAAATTAAGAAATACTTTTACATTTCATAAAGATTGAATAGATGTCCTGTAGAAAATTGAAGTTGTTTGGTTTAGCATCTTGAAACCCGATAAGACGAAAGGAAGGAAACAATATCAATAATTGCACTATTTCGGCTGCATAGAGGAGATAATGCAAATATCTTATGAACAGCGTTCATCATGCCTTAACCCTAGACATCAAGATCATCATCAGGGTCCTCCTGGTCATAGTCATCATTGGCATCAGGCTCATACAGAATCCGCCCAGAACCTGGACCTGGATGGAGCAGAGCCGTTTTCCTGCAAAGTTAAAAGAAAGACAATTTTACAATTTACAAGATGTATGTATAGTTTTAAAAACCTTTTAAATGTAATGCCATGTAACATCATTGAAGAGATTCTGACTTCTCTTTGCTGAAGACGAAAGGTAGGGTGAGTTTCTGCTTGGCCTCTAACTCTGAATCAGACAGTCGAAGGTTGAAGGTCAAGTTAGCTGTTGGGTCCGCCTGTTGACACACAAGGAAGATCACTTTCAGCACCTGTCATTTCAAGAGTCCCAGCTCTGTTCAGGATGTGTTAAACTGCACCTGCTCTTCCTCTGTGCTATTGGTTTTATGTTCAGCATGGCTAGGCTTGCTCAGAATGGTAACTGTGAAATCCTCTGCGATGCAGAATATCTCCTCCTGGGGGTCAAATGAAAGCTGTCAGTAATTCAAAGCAGAATACTAGCCAAACAAAGTGACCCACATATAAAATGCTTCTTACATCTTGGAAAACTTTCCCTGATTTGGAGCGCTTTGTTACTCTTGCCACTACTTCTTTTCCCTTCACTCCAGGTGCCACGGAGATGAGAGAAGTTGCCAAGTGGCAGACGCTTCCCACGGTGCCGCTCTGATGCATATCTGTGTGGAGCAGGCCAATAACAGCTCTCACAGCTCCCCCTAATGAAAATAGAAAATAATACATCAGTGGAAGGAGTTCTACATCAACTTAAAGCTCCAAATTACAGAAACAAGTTGTTTGATTCACCTTTTCTTAGCTGCTGAAGTGTCTGGCAGACAGCAGGCGCAGTCTTATGTCTCAATATCCAAGACAGAGAGTCGATGACGAGCACAGCTGGCTTTGGTTGTGATGTTTGTTTGACCAAGTTTGTGAGGTCCTCCAAACTGAACTGTTGAGCTGTGAAATTTGGGTGACCAGTCCACCCGAGGGGATCTGAATAGGCATTGTGAATATGTAACCTGAAAAGAAAAAAATATTTCTTGGTGTAATTACTGCGCTTTGAAAAACTTTTTATAAACCTTGAATATTTAGATAGTTTGTCCTGCTGTAACTGCAAAATTGTTTTATGAGAAAAACCAACACAACATTTTCCCAATCTATTTGATTTATGTTGGTTTCAATTACCTCTGAGTGTCTGAAGGTTTTAATCCATCTTTCAGCTCTTCTTCACTCACATCAAAACACAAGACATGTATAACTTCCTCCCTGGCAACAGAAAATATGCTTAGAAAAAGATTATAGTTATTTTTCAGTGCAGGAATATACATTCATCCAATATCTATACTGGCTTGTTCTTGAGTGAGGAGCTAATGTCTATGCCCAATGACAGCTGGAGGTTTTCTGGGGTACACCCCGGAAAAAACATAAGAATTTAATTCATTTTCAAAAACAAGATTTTAATGCACAAGTTTGCTGTCAATAAGCTTCTGGCAATTCTCACTGTTCCTATAAAATAACACAAAACTTCATTTAAATTTATAAGTTTCATGTTGCTTTTATAAATTCTTAAACCAGTTTTGATGATATCACCAGCATGCTTGACATTTAGTGTCGTGTTGTAAGTTTTGAAAGTCTGACCTTGATTCTCACACACAAACTTCTTCTTATAAAAAAATATATATTTGTTTTGTTTGACCATAAACCCTCTTTTATTTTGTCTAGGTGGAAAGCCACAGATTGAATCAAGTTGAAAGGTGTTGATTTTGGATCAGGGGGCTTCTTTTTCGGTCAGTACTTGATTAGTTCTTTCTAATATTAACAGTGATATTTTTGCCTTTCAGACACAAAAAGACAACGATGTCAAAAAACTGGACTAAAACTCAATAAAGCAAACTAAGATCAAACATCTGAAATGCTCTCAGCCTCCATCCATTATTTACCAACCAGCTTAAATATCCACTATTTCAGCCAATACATGTTATTGGATATCTACCCAGAAATGACAGAAATTTGCTGATTGTGACAAAACAAGTGCGGAGTTCATCTGCAAAATGTTAATGGATTTACCAAGCATGAGTACGGATGTTTTTATAACTTTGATCCTGAGAGAATATGAAGAAATTCGTGTCAAATTCAAATGAGTAGTTTTTATAAGCACAGCATTGTACCTGTTTAAGGCAGCAGTGATGTAGCTCTTCAGAAGATCTCGTCCTGAGTATCTACAGGAGTCTGTTGGATGATAGATGTTTAGCAATGCATTGGGTCAATTTAAACTGTTGGAGTACTGCAATATTTAAAACTTTTACCTCGTATTATTAGAAACCCTCCATTCTCAATGCCTTGCAGTAATTCAGACAACATGGTTGACTAAGGTGTACAAGTATCTACGGCTAATTAGCATGCTTCCACATTAGCACATGTGTAAGTTACAGAAAATAGACAAAAACTATTGAATGAATTAAACGGAAAAAACGTATAGCATCTCTTTATCGTACATGTGTACATTTAAATTAGCTAAAAGCTATTATTTCTAGGTTGTTAAGCTGTTTTGTTTGCTTGGTTAGCATGTTTTGGTTGCCCACGATCATATAACATCATATCCCAAGCTTCCCATGATCATGTTTTCGTGGGTAATGTAGTTTACTGGCGTTTACTGTCACTGTCGGGTGAAAGTGTAAGTGCTACATAAAGACTACGTTACCCAGCATTCATAATTGGAATTAGCTCGAAGTCGCTTCAGGGAGATTGGTGGTAGATTGGATGAGCTCCTCGGACCGATCCCGCCCTCTGTCATCCTTCCAGCCTATCCGCAAACGCTATATAATCCTGGAAACCAATCAGAGAAGAGGAATCCCTCTCCCTGTGTTCTTCTGGGCGATCTTGTCTAACGACACCCTCCCCTTTTTGCCTCCTAGAGAAGCTGCGAACGCGCGGAATAAAGCCCAAAGTCTAGTGGGTTTGTACACCCAAAGCGAAGATCGACAAAACTTCATGCGAGAGCTTCTCACCATGGATTTGTATATAGCATTTGTGCTAATTTGAGGATTATACACTTCCTTCTTCGCTTTAGCGATGGGTTTTGCAAATGCAAGCTCGAAATACGCGGATCTTAAAAGCTCGCCACGCTAGGCGACAGAGGAATTACTATTTTTTGACTTTTACAAAAAGTGGTTTGTTTGTGCTCTGTTAACGGCTGCCGTTGTTACGGATCTTGACCGAGAGGGATATCCACAAGTTTGACCCTACTGTGGACCGTCTTCAAGAAGACTTTCTCTCCCTAGTCCTTCGTGTCCTTGGCTTCTTTTTCCAGTGCCAAGTTACCCGGGCGATAAGGCGCAACCACGCCGGGGGAAGGCTGCTGCTCTCCGGCTAGCTGAGAAGCGGCTTCTCCTTGAATCGGGGCCTCGTCGGCTAGGCGACAATGCTTGACATAATGTCTGACCACCAAGGTACGTATGATAAAGACCGTTTAGAAATGATTGCTCCAACATTTGCAGTATAACGACGTTTTAACGGTCAACGGCAGTTTTACGGGTTTTAAGCCCCGTAAAACTAATGCTACTGCTACGTTGTAGTTGCGTAGGTAGGCTGTATTAATAGCTTTGCTCGCCTCCTTCTAATCCACTTAATGTTGTTAATGTACCGAAAAAATATAAGTGCTGTGAAATAGGTGTAGTTTTAATGTAGCTACTGTAGTTTTACAGTAAAATTGGATATGTGGATCTGGCTAGTTAGCTAACGCGCCGAATCAGACAGCTAAGGCTAAAAGCTAAATACAAGCTAACCAATAATTCGATGTCCGGGCATACTTAAATGCGCTTTCAACCAAAGTACCAATTGATATATGTTGCCAGAAAAATGTCATTTTAAAATCCGATTCGAAGTTAAAAACGGCAATGAACCAGACACGCCCGATTAAACGTTAGCAGCATCTCGCTAGCCCCAAGTTAGCACCCAAGCTTCTTCTCCTTCCAACTTCCATTTCAAGAAAAGCCAGCGTGAAAGTGCCAGATGACCCACACGATCCACAGCTCGAGTCAGACCGACATGAAAAGTAACGAATGTGTCTGATTAGAGAAACACAACTGTCTGAATTTGATGCTTTTATCTTCAAGCTGTTTGACCATTTGGCTCTTTAAAAAAAAAAACTTAGTTTAAATGCCAGTAGCAGCTCCACACAGCAAACCTGTTAATAACTGCCCCCTTATTAAATCCATACGCATAAATGTGGTTGATATGAACGAGAGTGGTTTAAAACGGCTGACCTCCGTTGCGGTTGTGTACACTATTAGCTAGCGCTGTCGTCTGCCGGATTTCTTCGGGTTTTATTTCGCAACTATTCCCACCTCTGGGCGCTGTCGGGAGTTCAAAGATGCTAATCGAAGCAGACTTTTAAATAAGCCCTTCATGCTTGTCGTTAATAATCCCCATTAAGTTATTGGCCCGGGTTAGCCTGCTAATGCTAGTATTAGTTGACTCGTCTCGCAGCGCTCCCTCAGGCAACAATGCGATGTAGTGTCATTTTTATTGCACACAAGCAAGCTCGGTGGCAATTTAAGGAAACGTTTTGTTTGTTTGTCTTCCGCAGATTCGCTTTTGACGTGTAAAACGGAGCCCTTGGTGAGCCCATTTATTATTATCATTACAGTCGCTCATTTGGAGTTAGCTGCTCAGCCTGACGCTGATGAGATTTACTTCCTCTAACAGCAGCTTTGCTATTTTCTGTAGCCCCCAGAAAGAAAAAAGAGGACTGTAGAGGACTTCAACAAGTTCTGCAGCTTTGTTCTGGCTTATGCAGGCTACATCCCCAGTCCAAAAGAGGTGAGATGTTTTTTTTTTTGTACTATTAAACCATTACTACAAATCTTAGTCGGCTGTGTTTCATGTGATCAGTTTACAACACACATGATACACGAAGATGCACACAAACTCTTCTGTTGTAGTTCCATAGTATTTGTTCCTAGAAGACCTAAAACGATTGTTCAAAGGAAGCCCTCAGCATCTGATTAAGACGTGTCCCTGCTGACAAATCTGATTCAAATAAATGAATTAAGTGTGTCAAAGGCCCAGGTAATGACCCCATTAATAAAAATCAGGTGGGGTTACTGCTGGGAAACATCTTAAGCACTCTGCATTCTGGTCCTCAAGCACTGAAACGCTGCACAGCTGTTTTAGACGCTAAAGTGGGTTACATGCAAATAAAATGTTTTGTCTGCTGGGACGGACAGAGCTGCCAAAGTGACGTGTTTGTACATTTACAGCATTTTTAAAAAACTTTCTTGAGTTGAGGTTCTGTAGTTTGGGAGTACATATATTTGTGATCAGGAATTTTGCCTCCAGTTTGTTTGAATGGTGCCTGACTTTTGACTTGTTTTATCAGAACTTTATTCGTGTTCCCGATTAATCTGCAAATGTTCAGATTACTGTACATTTGTTGAAAATAAGAGCTGTTTTCATTTAGTCAGGATCGCGTCTTAAACCAGGAGTTTTAAATGGCCTAGATTCCAGGTTAACCACTGAGGCTCCCGTTTTTGAGTTTTTACCAAATCTCGTTGTTTTTAGACTAAACCAGTGATTTATCAAGTCTGTCACTGTAGATGCAATTGAAAGGAGTTAAAAGCATCTCTTTATCAAACTGACTAATCCAGAGCCATCTTTCTCATTGCGCTTTTTGAGATTTGTAGAATTTGATATGTTTTGCAGCTCAAATGTGCAGAATGATCTAAAAAGTCCTGGGAAAAATCAGTTTCCCAGTTTGATGAAATATGGGATTCAGAAATGGAAAATTTGAACATTGCAGTTTATGAGCATGAAAATCGTTTGTGATTCACAAGCAGGAAAGTTGAGACCGAGAAAGAAGCATCACTTATAACAGATGTTTCTTTTTTTTTTTAGTTTTTTTTTTTCCCCTTAACAAAACCTTCAAATGTAGCATATGTGCCTCTTGTTTGTAAGATAACAGAGACAAACTCTTATTATTCACATTCGATCTGCAGGAAAGTTCCTGGTCTCCAACTTCGTCCAGCTCGGCACACAGCTCAGGGCTGTCGGCGGACGGGGGCGGCGGAGGCAGCAGCTCCATTGGCAACGCCTGGCCAGACGGGAGCTCCGACATTCACACCATCCACACGTTTGTGCGCAAAGCCCGCGCGAACAAGGGCAAAAACATTCGACGCATGCACTCCGACAGCACCCTGCTGGACAAGATGCGCCTCAAAGACTCGCTGTACGACAGCCAGGCCAGCGCCAAGGCCGAGCGCAAGAAGGACAAGAAGCTGAAAAAGCTGTCTCTGGGCTCGGCCACGATGGCGCCGGACAGCGGCAGCAGCGAGGGAGAGAAGCGGGCCCGCATCAAGCGCAGCAAGAACTCCTCCAAACAGCCCAAAGCAAAGAAGCTGAAGAGCTCCGCCGCCCAGAGCGAGACGGACTCGGAGTCGCGGAATTCGCATGCCGAGGTCCGGGCCGCCAGGGAGGAGCTGGCGTCGCACGGCGGCTCCACCTCCAGCCTCCACGGCCTGGGGAAGCCCGACGAATCCATCAGGGAAGCGGAGATGAGCTCCAGCGAGGGCGAGACATGGATCGCAGACGAAGATATCATGGTGGAGTCCGGTACGATAACAAACGATCATTTTAGGAGTCGACATGTCTCTGGATTAATTATTTAGCTTGATTACTGCTTAATTGCTGTCCACCAAATTCCCTTTTTTATGAGTCTGCAGACTCCAGTTGACGATTAATCGGTTACTCAATTAGTTGATGTCCGCTAACTACAATCTCTCAATCTACCACAGGCGACGACTCGTGGGACCTGATCACCTGTTACTGCGGGAAGCCGTTCGCCGGGCGGCCGATGATCGAGTGCAACCAGTGCGGCATATGGGTGCACCTGTCATGTGCGAAGATCAAAAAGTCCAACGTTCCCGACATCTTTTACTGTCAGAAGTGCAGAGACTTGCGGCGGTCGGGACACAAAAAGGACACTTAAGAAGGACGTTCTCCGCTGTCCTCTCGACAACTCACTTAACTCTGATGCCTACAGCCAAAACAGCCTAAATTCTCACCTGGGAGGCAACTGGTTCTGCAGTTGCACAAATTATTTTGACAATCAAAAAAAAAAACAACAAAAAAAAAACCATTATTTATTCCTGGCTTGGTTTTTTTTTTTTTCCTCCCATTTCTTTTTGCCGGCTGTGAAGAAAAACTGCCACCGGTTGCTTTATTAATTCCCACACTAATTGGCTTTGTGCATATTGATTTTGTTTCTCACGAGCGTGCTTTTCCCCCCAGCAACTTGTAAATTTGTACCTAAAGGAATACCAATCCAAGTAAGCCGGATATTTTGCATCGACTTAGAATTGTAACTTATTGTATAGCTCAAAAGAAAAAGGAAATTTTCACTCCAGCTAATTTCCTTAAATTATGTCTAGGATGCTCGACGGGCAGCTTTTTTTTTTTTTTTTTCGACAGTATTCTGAAAGTTTAATTTCGGAGGCGCTTTATTTCTGTCAGTAGCGCTCACTGAACGTCGGCGTATAAAGTTCTCGCTTCTCTCACACAAGAGTTGATTAATTTATTAAAATTTGCAAACTCATCTCAGTAGGTATGTTGCCTATAAATGTTTCTTTTTTTGGTTTTTCTTGCCAGCAGTCGTTGATGAGAGAGAGAGAGAGAGAGAGAGAGGAAAAAAAAAAAGTAAAATCCCAGATATGTTTCCAGTGCATTCACTGAGAGGTGGTTGAATGTCTTTGGCTCATTAATCAGTCATCAGTAGCCAACTTGCTTTTGAATTAGATCCACAGAGGAAAGCTGTTCAACTTGGTTGTTTTTGAGTGCTTTTTTTTTTTTTTAAATCGTCTCATCTTTATAAGAGTTTGGGTTTGTTGTTGTAAAGCACCTGGTTACGGCTCCTTGTGTTGTCAAGGTTGAGCCCGGGCTTGTTTATGAACGGCGGTAAATATTTGTTTTATTTCATATAACTGTTTTATTCCTTGGCTTTTTGTTTCTTTCCCGTCAAGTGGGAGCAGAGATGTGCCCACTTCAGGACAAGAGATCGTCTCGCCTAGAGAACAAAGTTGTGTACAAAAGTGTAAGTTGAGGCTGCATAGGTTGTGGCGTTGTTTATTTTCTACCCGTTGTATTTCGTTGTTGGTTGGGAGAGTCTTAGCAAGTCTCCGGGAGTAGTTGCGCTCTCTGTACAACTTCAGTTCTGTGTACATATCCTGTTCTTCGACAACTTGTACATATGTGAAAGTGAAAAGAGAGAATACCCAAGCAAAGTCTATATTTTCTGCAGTCTGATATTGTTTTTCTTTAACTGTAGCTTGAATAATAATAATAATAATAATTAAAAAAAAATCTTTGGGATCATAAATCGTGTGGTTTCTTTCCGTACCAATAACTCCACACACACACACACTGTAAGACCATTTTTATTTTTAGATGACTTTAGGCGCACAACAAAACAGTCATGCTTGTCCTCTGCCACTAGAGGGAGATGTTTGAAAAGAATCCCACCTTAGTTTGGTCATTAATTAAATACAAATAGTTGAATAAATACGAAATATAGCTGCAGAAAAATCCTGGATTATAAGTCGGAGAGGCGTTTCAGTTTTCCCCATAGACAGATTTCTTTTCCTAAGGCGGAAAAGAAAAACAATCAGTACACTTTAAACATTTATTTTTTTATCATGTGGAAGAATCTCTGGAACTTTTAAATAAGGTAAATCTGCTTTCACTATTATAACAATCTTTGTCATTTTATTTAACTGCCACACCAATTTGCTGTTCATATGTACTGAAATCAAGTGATGTAGTGAATTTCCCAGTGGAACAAGTGGTTTAAAAGAGGATCCAAATATGAAGGTCCTATTAAAGAGCTTTAACTGTATGTCTTCATGAAATATGAAGCTTAAATATATTTTTCCCAGCTGGGGCTGTACTTTGCTTTATTTGAAGATTTTCTGTGCCATATTTAAAGAACCCCCACCCTTAATCTCTCACTATTTCTTATTTACATTTCAACTGAAATTTACTGAAATTTTGCAAGTTGCAAAATTTGACAGCTCCAGAAATTTTTACCTTGAGTACATTTACTTAGTCAGGGACAAAAAGTAAATGTCCTTGACTAAATATACTAAAAACAACCACAGCATTAACAAAATAAGACATCTATAAAATAAATAGAGCTGGAAATATGTTGTCGAAGTTTCTAGGAACTTTTTATTAGTGCTCTGGGATTTTCTTGTGGAATAAATATGATGCGACAGACTTCTCTTGGCTACTGTTCAAAATGGCAAAGACGAGCGAGCATGCCATTCAGACACGACATATCTGAAAAATAATTGCTTGCTTAAGCATGCTAATATCTACAATTGGATCAATAAGTTAGCTGGAAAAGTGACGAGTCTGGATGAGGAGCCACGTTGATGTCGCTGCCACCCACAGATAGGACAATAAGCTTCAAGCCGTTGTTTTACACCGTCATCAACTCGTCATAAAAAAATATTTTGAAGCTCTTCTGTGCACCAGTACAACTCTGTACAAAGATATGAGTTCTTACCTTTCGGTTTCGAGAGCTGGGTATCTGGAAACGGCCAATGGAGTCCAGAGGAGCGATTTTCCTCCTGAAAGTCCCCAAAAATGTTAAATTCAGCTCAGCTACACATTAGTCAGCCTGTAGTTTATTTTCCTTTATGCAGTTGTAAACTTCAACTTAATCCTGTCAATCTACAAAATCAATACTTTTCAGGATGTCATTTCACCTCTAAACTTTTTATTTTTGGTTGTGTGCATATCTGAAGTTCATTTTCTTTCTTATTTTTTAACATGCACTCACGAAAGGACTTCATCCTCACAGAATAAACTCAAATTCTGATCTCCATCTCCTACATCTAACAGCTGCCTTTGGGTTCCACCCGAACCCAAAGGCACTTCCTGCGTCCTCACCTCTTGTCGTTGGCTTTGTGGTTGCTCAGGTTCTGGTTCCTGTTCTGGCTCTGCACTGAACCGGTCAGCGTTGGGTCGATGAGGGTCTCGGAGGGATCGTCCGCACCCCTCCTTACCTCTCCTGCGTCGCCCACAGAGAGGTCCCCCGTGTCCACGGGGTCGGACAGGTGGTGGAAGACGTCGTGGTCCGGCCAGTGGACCTCCTGAGAGCAGAAACCAAGACGTCACCAAATCCCCGCAGGTGTTTAGGTCTGACTGTTCGGCTGTGTGAGGCGGGGAGTCTCACCCTTTTGGGTTTTCTTGGTATCACAGCAGCAGATATTTGCTCTAACAGCATGTAGAGAGCAAGCAGTGGAAGCACACATCTGGAGCAGATCATCTGGGAGGAAGAATTTGTGCACATGCATCAGTACAGGAATCAGTGTAATGAGGCATAAATATGAAGGTGCTCACCTTGAATATTCTCTTTAGGTTTCTCCGCTCAAAGATCTGGGCTGCAGCTCTGCGGCGTCTGTGCTGCTGACCAGTGTGGAGGCTATTTGTAGGGATGGACGCAGGGTGGGTTTATATTATGGGACTATAATGGGGCTGTTTAGGGTCATTGTTTGTGTGTGTAGTCAGACAAACCAATTAAATCTGCCGCCTTACTGGCCGGTATTTTCAGGATTTTTTTACAGTCGGTTTTTGGACAATGACAACATGCCTCAACACAAGTAAATACATGCACATTACACACCCTCAGCGACGACAGATGGCGGCGTGATAAGGCCACATTGTTGAGGATGTTGTTACTTTCTCCATCATGGGTTCGTCTGGGAGCGCTGTGTTGACCTCAGGCCAGTTTCAGCTGGTTTTATCCTCTAATATGATATAATATATTTTTATTGAGGTCAGGATGCTTGACCATACACTAGACTGGCCACAGCATCACAGGTCCTCCGCCATACCTAACAGTGGGGATGAGTTGCTTCGCTGCATGTCCATTCGGTATTAAACCCTCAACCCACCCTCAGCGCTTTTACTGTAAACATATCAAAAGTGCTGTGTTTACAGAAAACACAGTCCTTTCATTGGAAGAACAGACTAGTACAATGATTTTCAGATGCCTGAAAATCTGGTGGGTAAATAAGTACCATCTAACAGCTGATAATGGTTATGAAAAGTTATGGATTAATAATCAGATGTTTCTGGAAACTGATCAACTTTATAAATAAAATAAAAGAAGTTCAATTACACTGATTTTTTTGAAATATTTAAATGCAAGCAACTGTGCCACTGGCAATCACTTTTAATGCAAGATATTTTCTGGCAGCCTTTACTGAAATGAAAGGCTGCCAAAAAAAAGGGCCTCTTCCCACTACAGCTTATTTTTAAAGATAATTTATTTATTTTGCATGTAGTTAACCAGTGCTTCTTGTTAGTTTCTGCATTAACATCAAAACAGCTGCAACGTTTCTACATCTCTGCAGTTCTCTTTCTCTCTTTTTTAGGCGTCATTTTTATTACTGAAATGTTCACGTTATGACAGAAGTCAGGATAAACACTGTTCTACAAGAATGCACACAAGAAAAATAAGCAGGTGGTTGAAAGTGCCAGTGCATGGATCTAGGCAGCAAATGTGCAGGTTTCTGTGCAAGATTTTTACAGAAAACTAATCTGATTAAAGAAAACAAGCATTAATGTGTGTTACAATTTGTAAACTTGTATCACTAATCACTGAGTTTTTTATTTGCTTTTATTGTCTGCACTAATTTTGCATTAGAAGAAGCCAAACAAAAAGCTCCGGGAGATCGGAGATAGCACCAGGATGTCAGTGTGTGTGGTAATCTGGTGGACTCTGCAGATCACCACCCAATACAGACACACAGACACACCCCTCCTTCTCCTACTCGGTGGTCTCCGGCCTGCTGCCTATGTCTCCAGGAAACAAAACAGAGGGGAGACAGAGCAGCCAGCCTGGATGGAGAGATTGGCGGAGGACAGGGCAGGCCAGGGGACCCGCTCGCTGGGTATGCTCGCTGAGACACGTTTTCACTTTTCCTCTTTTCCCACCCTGTCCTAATTATTGCTATTTTAGGATACCGAGACTCTCCAAAGATAGAGCAAGTGCTGATTGATGAGGGGAGAGTAAATAAGTCGTGACAGCATGTCGGCATGGGGCAGAGGCCAGATAGGCTGCACTGATTACCTCCGTTATCAGCGACAGGCCTCATTAGGAGCCTGAGGTTGGGTGTGGGACATGCGTTTTGTTTCATTACAACACAGAGACGCAAAAAGATGCAAAATGAAGATGTTGGTTCAGAGATCACTCTGAGGTTTGGGTTTTAGCTCAGAGGTCAGAGAAAGATCTGTTTCATGTATTTAATTCAATTTGGATCATTTGATCCAGTATAACTGTAAAAATAAAGCTCTGAGAATTAGCAGAAATAATGCCTAAAAACACAATGAGTTATTCCACAAACACTCTGAGTAACTAAGTTTGTTGTTTTCAATTATGTAAAAACTGTATTTTTTTTAAAAAAGTTAATATTCAGGAATAAAAAGGAAAATAATTCATTTAGAAAATAACTGAATTAGAACAAAGAAAATTATCGATGTAATTATGTAAATATATGTATTTATGTATTTATTATGTATTTATATATATATATATATATATATATATATATATTATATATATATATATATACATATATATACCGACTCAAAAATGGGGCCAACATCAGTCACCTCCTCTACATGGATGACATCAAGCTGTATGCCAAGAGTGAGCGAGACATCGACTCACTGATCCACACCACCAGGATCTACAGCACTGACATTGGGATGTCATTCGGACTAGAGAAGTGTGGTCGGCTGATCACAAAGAGGGGGAAGGTGATCCACACAGAAGGAGTCTCACTCCCACAAGGAACAATAGCAGACATTGAGGACAGTTACAAGTACCTAGGTATACCACAAGCAAATGGCAACCTCGATGAGGCCACAAGGAAAGGAGCCACAGCTAAATACCTCCAACGAATAAGGCAAGTCCTGAGAAGCCAGCTCAATGGCAAGAACAAAATCCGTGCGATAAACAGCTATGCCCTGCCAGTAATCAGATACCCTGCTGGAATAATCAGCTGGCCAAAGGAGGAGATAAAAGCCACAGATATTAAGACTAGAAAGCTACTAACCATGCATGGAGGGTTCCATCCCAAATCCAGCACCCTGAGACTGTACACGAGCCGCAAGGAAGGAGGCAGAGGACTAGTGAGTGTGAGAACCACTGTCCAGGACGAAACAACTAAGATCCATAAATACATCAGGGACAAAGCCTCAACAGACAATGTGCTCAGTGAATGTCTCAGACAACAGGGAACGGAGGTTGAGGTGCCAGAGATACCATCATGGGAGGACAAGCCCCTACATGGGATGTACCACCAGCAAATAACCCAAGTGGCTGATATCAGTAAATCCTACCAATGGCTGGAAAAAGCTGGACTCAAGGACAGCACAGAGGCCCTCATCCTGGCCGCCCAGGAGCAGGCCCTAAACACCAGAGCAATAGAGGCCAGATCTACCACACCAGACAAGACCCAAGGTGTAGGTTGTGCAAGGAGGCCCCTGAGACAGTCCAGCACATCACAGCAGGGGGCAAGATACTGGCAGGGAAAGCGTACATGGAACGACATAACCAAGGGGCAGGCATAGTGTACAGAAACATCTGTGCAGAATATGGACTGGAAACCGAGATCAAAGTGGGAAACACCCCCAAAGGTGGTGGAGAATCCCAGAGCTAAGATCCTGTGGGACTTCCAGATCCAGACAGACAGAATGGTAATGGCGAACCAACCAGACATTGTCGTAGTGGATAAACATCAGAGGAAAGCCGTTGTGGTAGATGTAGCAATACCAAGTGATTGCAACATCAGGAAAAAGGAGCACGAGAAACTGGAGAAATACCAGGGCCTCAGGGAAGAACTGGAGAGGGCCTGGAAGGGTGAAGACCACAGTGGTGCCTGTGGTCATCGGGGCCCTCGGGGCAGTAACCCCCAAACTGGAGCAGTGGCTACAACAGATCCCAGGAACAACATCAGACATCTCAGTCCAGAAATGTGCAGTCCTTGGCACAGCCAAGATACTGCGCAGAACCCTCAAGCTCCCAGGCCTCTGGTAGAGGACCCGAGCTCAGAGGATAAGAACCACCCGCGGTGGGTGAGTTATATTGAGTATCTTCATATTACTGTATGAATATGAATCCATCACGTAAGCCTGTATCCACGTGCTCATGGATTTCATTTCTGTTTAATGAGCCACTCATGTGTTTGTGTTTGTGTCCTCGTTACTCCGCCCTGGTCCAGCTCCCTATAAGTGCCACACACTGCTAATTATAACTGCAAATATAGACTCCCCTCTGCAGATGTGAGCATTCCCTGAACAGATCAACACGGGGCAGAGCATCACTGTGGAAACATCTCGCCAGTAATTGTTGGCAGAAACACTCCCATGGAGTCCAAGAAATTAAATGAGATCCCTTGTTAAATCTGATGATTTGTGTTTTAAGAAACAGCCAGGATGTTTTGTTAAAGCAAGAAAAAAAACATGCAAGACGAACACCCCGGATGTGTGGTTTTTTTAATGGTTATTCTGAATGAACCTTTGCATAATGGACTTCTTTAATTTACATTCACCTTGCACAGGTGAAAGATCTTCAGTACGTTAAACATCAAAATAGTAGGGGTTTGTGGAAACTGTACTCTAGTTTCCACAAAATTACTTCACTCGTCTTTTGAGACAAGAATCATTTCCAATTTTCATCACATCAGTCTCTTCGCATGGAGACAGATGTGAAAAGCAAAGTGCCTTTCAGTCAGCAGACTGGGAGTTGAAGCTGCAGAGTTGGAAGGCCAGAGAAAGTTGATCACTCTGCCTCTGATATCTCAGAAAAAGGTCTTTTAACTACATGAAATGCATAAAATGAGCAGATTTGAAACTAACCTTTCAAAACCTTGCTAAAACCCAATACCAGTTACCATCCTGCATGCAACAGGTATAATTTAAGTTAAAAACTCTTCTGTTGAATAATCGGTGAGTTGTACAAATAACTTTACTTTTGCAGGGTTTGTTTTTATACATTCCAATTAATTTAATATAGAAGATGAATATTTTTCAGTCTTAGATCTGAATTTATCATAAGCAACATTAAATCCTGGTGGTTGTCTTCTCGTGTTAATGTAATACATGAAATATATGAAGGACTCACTGAAGTTGTTGATTGGTCACCACATGAGTTTGCTATAACTCTGCATGTCTATGCTTGACTTTCTGTTGCAGCTTTTGGTTTTGGTGTTTCACCCAAGCATTGTCAGAGAGCCTCATCTGGCCTCCTGTTTGGAAATATTTTGTCGGCACTCCTGGCAATCTGTCTGAGACACACAACAGGACATTTTATATTGTAATTCTATATTCTTCCACAGGATGGAGCAGTTTCCCATATTGGGTGAAAAATTCATGAAAAGCTGATTATTATAAAAGGTATGAAGATCATTAATACCAAGAGATATAGGAGAAAAAGCTGAATAGTATAAAAGTTGAATAAATAAAACATCACAAAGTATGCAGGAGAAGAAGCGAGACGAAATTTACGCAGCAACCAGAAAAGTGGAATCCCAACAGCATTCACACTAATTACACCAAAAACAAAGGTTTTATGTATTATGTGAACATATGGAAGCATTGGTGTCCATTTGCAGTTTTTGATAAGGGTATTAATTCAGTTCAATATAAGTTATTTGTCCCCAAAAAGCAATGTAAAGGCACAAATTAAACAGCACAAACATAAACACAGAAATTAAAATGTAAAAATCAACTAATAAAGAACAAACAGACAATTAAACTATGTTGCTATGTTGTTGTACGATGTTTTAAGATCTTATTCAATGTGCCATTTTTTTTTTTTACTTTCAGCCTCTGCCCCTGCAAAAGTCTCTGCGCGGCCCTGCAATTTGCCAATATAATCACATCAGTAACCTTAGTGGTGAAAGAGAGCCAGAAGATACACTTAGAGTCAAACTTTAAGTAACGGGACACCCATTAATCCACATGACGACACGATGATTCAATTGGATCCGGATCGAAAAGGCTCCACAACAAATGAATGTGGAATATTTGAGTTTCTGTTTTCTAGAGTTCTGGTGACCTCTAGTGGCTGTTGTATGATGTGACGGCCAGATGAGAGCAGCTCCCTGAGAAGGCCATGTACGCCTCTTTAGTTTATTGTGCACCCATGTATGCATGGCATTTTAGAGCAAAACTTGGGTGGAATAACTTTCCAGTAATTTTAACCAAAAAATACAACAAAATCTAATAAATAAATAAATAAATAAATAAATAAATACACATGAAGGTATTAAAAACGAAATGAAGGTTATTTTGGCCAAAACTTGCCATCGATTTGAATAAAACGTAAAATAAGATAATGGTCAAAGTCATTTTTTTGTTTTTACTTCGGCCGTTATTTTAATAAAGTGAGATTATGCTTTTATTTTGAAAGTACCGTAATGCTTACTTCATGTACGCACGCGGAACTAGCCTGTCTGTTTTACTCGTCGAGTTGAATAACTTACAAACAACACATTTCGACCTTTCACCCGTGGGTTGACTTGGGTCACCAAACATAATTTAAACCCGACTTGAACTCCAATGTTTCTGGTCCCCGCCCATGTTCATGTTCGCGCCTTGTTGCCTCCCCACAAAGACGCCCAAAGAAGCCTTTCTGAGGGGAGGGGAGAGAAAAGAGGAGGAGAGACTGTGGCAACAGCAGCAGCAACGACGAACAGATTGGGAAAAGGACTGAAAGTACTACTTTGGAACCGACAACCTGCGTCTCCTTTCGTTCTTTGGGATTTAAATTCACGCGTAAGTTGCTTTGCATCTTTTTTGAAAGCTAAGTCGGTACTTAAATCGTTTATTGGAGGCTTTCATGTGTTTTCAGCTGCTCAGTTTGACTAGGAGAAAAGGGCCACAGCAGGACTGCGTGTTCTAGATAACCAGGCAGATGTGTCTGGTTAAACACGACACACCCACTTTCGCTTTGCAAGCTTTTCTTTTCCAGCCCGCAGCGTGGAAAAATGAAAGGATTGTTCCCTAAACATTGGAGTTTCGTTTCATCATGAGTTCCCCAGCTGTTTGCTTGCTGGATTTAGGTCCAGTCAGGTTGTGGTTGTTAACTTGTACTTTCCTGTTCTGTACTCCTCTCCTCGCCTCCCCACCATAACTCCCCTTGCCCTTCCTCTCCTTTTCCTTCATCCCTGTTTTCCAAGGAAACCCTGGGAGGGATTTGGGAAGTGTGACCTCATTTCTTTCTCCAGTTCTCCGCCAATCACAATGTCTGCTCCAGGTAAGTTATAATGAAGTATAACTTCATTATAGTGGTGATTACAGTTTTCCACTTTGCAATCATAAAAACTGACACTGACCTCTTGAGCACTGTCTTCCTCTTTGTTTCTTCTATAATCACATCTTTTAGCTATTGTGACATTGTTTGATTTGCCTTTTTAAAGTTTCCACCACTCTTGCCCAACCCAGATTTTCCATAGAAAGCGATGAATCATGAACCGGTCCGCCTCTCTCCATTCTTCTCATGGCCTCTGTTCCTGAAAGATGGTGAAATCTGAAACTTGTTTTTAAGATGCTAGCGTGACTACATCTCTGGTGTTGGTCCTGAGGGCTTCACCCTCGTTGTTTAAAAGGTTTTGGAGGCGTTACGTGTGGCTGCCTGTAGTTCCTTTTGTCTGCTAGTACGGTCCTCCTCACTTTCAAGCAGATGCAAATCTTGTGTTTCCTGGAAAGAGGGTGAAGGAATGTGAAAAAGAGGTGGAACGGATTTCTTACTTCCCCTCTTATGCGAGAGCTAAAACAAATTGGAGGCTCGTGACCTTCAACTGGCTGGATTAAGCTCGCCATTGGAGCCGAATACCAAGATTACAGAAAACCAGTTTGGTTAGATGAGAGTCGCATCAGTGTCAACACAACTGAATGTCAAAGCAGAGAAAATGCAATAATCATGCTCCATTGGTTGGATAGTAAAGGTCACGGTCAGGAAGAAAAGATGGCGATCCTGAAAATGGTCTTTGGGTCATTTCACAATTTTTTCAAATTCATAACCCAATTTTATAGCTTACATTTCCTTTCTATTGCTTCTTAACTCTTATTTTATAGCTCTAATCAAACCTCTTCTTGCCTGTGTGTTGAAAACTATGGAACTCATTTTATTTTTGTTATAGTTAAATGTTTTAATTAATTTTGATGTAACACAATTTTTAGAGAAAATGTTACATTAGTAGTATATCTTTATCTGAATTGTTGCTTAACACTATTTCCCATTGATTGCGCTTCTTTTGCCATTTCATTTCTCAACAACAGATTAGGAAAGCTGATCAAACCATAATGTATGCATGATTACAACATTTCCTGACTGCAGATTATGCTGTAAAAATCATCCATCCATTGTGTACGTGCCTTTGACTGATTGGCAACTGCAAAAATGATGAATAAATGAAATAATGACTTAATTTAAGGGAAGGGCTATCCCAATCTACCTAGGGAAAAAATAATTTGTCTTGAAACCCGATACCTGGTTGTTCCTCCACTGGCAGGAATAATTGGGATCAAGTGTTTGTTATAACTGGCAACAAGTGTGGTGAAAAAATGGGCCCTTTTGTGTTTTGAAGATGTTTTTTTGATTTGGCCACAGTGAAGGGTTTTGGGGTGTGAGCAGCTCGTGGCACAGCAGACAGACTCTTTGAATTCTTAAATTTACCTCATGAAACCGTGAGGCACACATTCTGCGATGGAGGTCTCCCCCTTACCTTTCTTTTCAAAACCATAATGCTGGATGAACTCTGTTTAGTATGCTTGGGTCTTGTTTGCACTTTTAAATCCTGTGGCTGGATGATTGCACAAATCAAGTCAATGCTACATTACTTCATCCTCACTTCCTGTGACTACCTCAGCTGGAGAGTCAGACATGTTACTGAGGTAGACTGACCTTAACTCTACTAATACGATTGGTCGATCAAAAAAGACACCTCAATGGCCCTGAAGGACTTTGTGAAAGGGTCTTGTTTGATGCCATGTAACCTGATACTTGAGCTGCTATTCAGACACCAAACAAAAACACTGCTAACTGTCCTTTCTGTGTCTTGTAGATGTCTATGTCTGTATTTAAGAAATCTGGAAGATGTTTGGATATTTTAGGACAAATTTTAGTGCAAGGTGGGCACTGGGTCATGAACCTGATGGTTTCCAGAGCCTGTGACCTCAAGACGAGTCCCAACAACCACCTTTCCACCGCCATGAATGGCAACTTCAATGAGAAGTTTGCTGCCGATATGCAATACTTGAGTTTTCTTAACATACCATTGCACATTATGGTGAGAGAACAAGATTTACTAAGACTTGTTCAACCTTTTCATAATTACAATGTTTGGCGATGACCTTCTAAACCTTCCTGGAATGACGAGCATCAACAGTTGTTTCCCAAGGATCCTCGGCGAGCTCTTTCATCTCTGGCACACAACTCCACTAAACTACCAAAACTGCTTTTAGAAAATTCATTAAACTGATGGTACTCATCTTATCAAGTGCATTTGATTAGTAGCACCATGCCGACCCTTTGCCATTTCATTCCAATGGGACCAGCAGTGGGGCAGCTAACTTTTGAAAAGTGTGGAGGATGTGAGTTAAGTAGGAAAGGACTGGGGCAAACGATCACCCTTTGTCAGTATTTTGCCACTGCTCACACAGGGCATGTGAGATAATTAGTACACACATTTTCTAAGAAAAATGTGAAAACTTTTTGGTGCAGGTATTGAGGAAGCTGTTTAAAAGGAAACTGTATTTTTCATGACATGTCGGGACCTGGATTCATTCAGGCTGAGAGAAACGGTGGACTCAGTCTATGCCAGGTTCAGTATCTGTGGATTTGCCTATTCACAATTTTATTTCACAGATCATATCTAAAATATTCAAATGAAAATGTAGCTTGCCGAGCTGAAATGCCAAGGCGCAATGCTGCTTGGCACACTGCTAGCTGTACTAGTCCAGCCAATCCAGGAGCATTGTCATAGTTTCCTTGGCTCTGATTGGCTGAAACTCCCAAGAGTAGAAATATTGTAGATGTCAGCTTCTGGCATGGAGGTGCCAAGATGATTTCCACTGTGTGTATTAAGGCATATTAAGGTACATTTGGTGCTTCAGCTATAAAAAAAAAAATAGTGATTTTCAAGCGTTCTGAGACGCATTCCAAGAATTCCTGGATTCAAGCTTTTTCTGGGTGGTGGTGATCCATCAGCCCTACAAATACTGGAGGTCCACTGATTTGTTGTTATGATACTAGCTGTGCTACTCACTGAGGCGCTGGAGACATTTTAAAATGGGAACTTCAAATCAAACCGTTTTCTCACACACTGCGGCGTTTCCTCTTCTGCGAAATACATAGTAATCACTTATGGCAGGAAGGTCAGAAAAAAAATATTTTGAAAACTGTTTTCATATCTTCCAATACTCTAGTACTTAAGAAGAAATCAAAATGTATTTTTAAGTACTGGCCTTGACCAGTTTGGCAGGTTAAGACCAATTTGACCTTGACCTGCCAAATCGGTCTTGGCAAGTTAAATTTTTATCAAAGATGACAATTACGTACAAAGTTGATAACAAGCTAAAAAAGTTAATCAGTAAACACGTTGACCAAGATTTAAAGGGCATTCAATCAGCTCGTTCTCTCATTTAATAGAACACCATTAGCTTAGATATTAGACCAAAGTGAATTAGGTGAACAACAAGGCCAATGAGATTATGGCTCCAAACCAACTTTCATTTTATGAATTATACAAGCAGTCCACACTTAAGACATGTCTTTTCTCATCATCTCCATTTATTGTTTCAGTTTCTTCTGTTTGGCAAAACTTTCAAAGTTCAGATTTTGCAGAAAAAAGTTATGTTATTAAGACATTCACCTGTAACTTTTACAATGCTTAAACAGTATTGTCTTTGTCTCATTGAGAAAAATGGCTTTAGCAGTTTTTATGGACATACAAATTAATCTGTGTGTACATGTAGTTTTATGTTAATTGACTCACTTCACTGTGGACTTTGGCGTTTATGTGTATGATCTCTTCCTGCTAGGTATTGAAGAGAAATTTCCATCTTACGCAAATTTAATGAGCAATAAAAAAAAAAATTATGTTTTATTGTTTCACTGAAACCATAACGCGTTAAACAGACAGGAGCATAAACAGAGCATTTAGTGGTCAAACTGATGCAGATGTCTACAGTTCAAATATAAAAATGTGTTTTAAACTGGATGGCCTTTTCTAACCAGATAGAAATAAATTTGTAAATAAGAACAGTGAGTTCACTGTTTTCTCGTCGCCATGCTGGGGCCATCTTGTAAACTCTTGGTTTTGCTCGTCTCTCAGCAATAAAGTGCAGTCATTTGGCTTGTGGTGAGAAAGGCAGGATCCTTAGACTAATGGTCTTTTTGAACAACATGACACATTCACGTCGCTGCCGACATTAAAACCAACTAATAACCTCTTTATGGGGAGTCAGTTGTGGTAAAAAAAAAAGCTTCAAGCTGGGGAGTTTATGCACAGATGGAGGTCGTTGTTTTTGCACTTTTTATAGAACGGTTACGGGCAAGTCAGAGGTCAGACGATATATTAGCAACTGGTTCCTGTAGTTAAGGTTCTGGTAATGTTTGGTTGGTCGGGGCATAGCCTGCAGGTGTCTGTAAAAAAAAAAGTTCAGTTAGGCTCTTTGAAAAGCAACTGTTACTACCCACAAATCTAGAAAGGTTGATATGCAGGTTTTTTTCATTTAAATGGATGTCCATTCTGCTCAGAAATCATTTAAGACATTTGCCAATCTTCCCAGCAGATCTTCAGATTCACTCCAAAGCTAGTTCCATCTGAGACTGACTGTACAGGGTTTGAAAGCGTCTTCTCTCTAAAATAATATGGCAACATAAAGCTGGTTCACAGAGTTGCATCTGGATGATCGACAAGACCTCTTGAACAATGTAGAGATGTTTGTTCATAACTCAGAGGGCCTTACTTGTAGAAAACCAAAGAAAATACACCAGCTGCTCCTCCTGATCCTACTGGTTAAGCATGATGGCTGTTTTGCACTGGTAGTTATTGTGGTAAATATGACGTGCTCTATGTCACAAATACTGTAAAGGTAAACGTGAACTGTTAACCAGTTGTTTCTTTGTTAAACTGGCTCAGAGTATTACAAAATGGCTGACGGAGAAAGAAAAGAGCGTTTTGCAATAATTCAGTTAAACCCCTTAAGTCGCACGATGACATCAGTTTCCTCATGGACCCATCGACGGACATGCAGGCATTTTGAGGGTGGCAGTAAATGGGTTAAAATCCAGACCTCAACCTGCTGAAAGGCTGCGGCGAGAAACGCTGCTAACCTCAGTGAACTGAGGCCGTGTTGGAAAGAGGAGTAGGCCACAGATCCTCCACAAATATGTGAGAACAAATCATGATATACTTTATGAAACACAGCTCTTCTGTTCTGGCCTTTTTTTCCTGCTTAGTAAACGATGGTGTGGCATCTGTTGTGTCAACTTATAGCGAGTTGAGTCACATTTAGCCCCCATTATAAACCAGGACATTCATATTTCTGCCATTTTGGTAGAGATGTACAACTGAAAGTGGGTGCTCTTTTTCTTTTCTTTCTTTTTTTTTTTTACCATGACACTTCACATGCTTGATTTTTACTTCCTGTCCTCTAAAATGTTTCTGTTTGCTTTGTGGCTCAGTGCATAATAGCATCCAGGGAGAAATAACTCAATCCAGACATGCATGCATAGAAGCTCTTGCACACAACCATGGTTCAGTCACCGTTTGTTCAAAAATGTCTCTTATCGTGACTTTTGGATAAGAAAATGAAGAAGCCCAGATGTGTCATGTCATCTAAACACCAGATAAGAAACCAAAAAGCTGCTTTATTCCTCTGGTGGTTTGCATTATGGTTTTGAAATCTTCTTTTTTCAGTTTTACCCCCATTTGATGTTTGGATGGCAGATTTGTACGTTAGGCGCTTTTGATACTCTTTTGCTTGATTGACTGGGGTAAAGATCCAACTTCCAGCAAAATAGCAACACTAAACGTACAACCAGAGGTAGTTAGAAATCAATTGAATGTAGTCACAGTGCAGAGCTAAATTCAATTTCAATCTGTGGCAGGGCCTGAGCCGTAATGTTTAACAGATGACCTCCATTTTGAGCTTGAGCTTTTTTGTAAAGAGACCTGGACAAAAATAGTCTCTAAAATGGATTGACTCAGGAGGATACTTTCTTCTAAGACTTGCTTTTATTGTTCTCTTTTCATGTCACACTTCTGGACTGTTCTTCATATGCAAAACATGCAAAAATATGCAGCATATCATCTTATCAATGGGAAAACCAAAACATCCAGTTTTGAGCCGGTAAAAGATGAATGTGTGTGATTCACTGTAGGCTACCCAGGCTCTCCAAACCATCCTCCTTACCCACAACCCGGCCAGTCCGCGCCCCCTTATCCGGTCCCAGCTGGAGGATATCTTGGCGACCCCAATCAGGGTCCCCCACCAGGCTTCAACATGGGCTACAACCAGGGCCAGCCTCCTGTTATGTATCAACCGGGCCCTGCTCCAGGTCCAGACTTCGTCGGCCAACCAATGGGAATCTCTCCAGCTCCGACTCCTGTCGGCGTCCCGCCCGGGCTCGAGTACCTCACACAGGTAGGTCTGAAAGGGGGAAACATCTGGTAAACTGATTTCTGTACGATAAACGGTAATATTTGCGATTGTAAACAGACACGCCATTCTGAATCAGTCTGGGCTCCTGTCTGTTAAAATAAAAAAATCACTTCTGTTCTTCCTTCCTTTCTGGTGGTGAGCAACAGCTGTAGATCTCTACCAGTGGAAAACTCAGCATGCCTTATGGCACTTCTTATCCACCTGTTGATTCCTGCAACTTTTTAACACTGCTAAAATGGAAACAACACAAGTAGAACAGTTTTTTTTTTTATTTATTTTCCTTCAACTCAGGTGATGCAGAACTTATGAATAAATTGACTTCAACTTTCAATGTCAAATTGACTTTTTTGTGCTTTATATCATGTCATATTGTTGTTCTGTCATCAGATACAGACCTGGAGTCTTGCTTTGATTCTGCTAAGCTCATCATACAAGCTACTTCTCAGTAGAACGCTTCTAAGAATGGCTGTAAATGGCGTAATGGTGGAGTGTTGTGACAACGTGCTGAAGGGAGTGTTGGAAAGAGTTTGAGTTTCTTAAAGAGACAGAAACAAATTTCAACCCTTCACGTTTCTTCTAAGTAGTATTTGATCAATACAGCATTTTCATCGCAGCTGAAGTTACTTGAATGTGTTGGAAAATGAAAATATGTGCCTGAAAAACGCACAACGCCCACCCATTTAAGACATTCCTGTCCAAGATATGAACTTTATCCTGTTGTCCTTTTGAACTTTGAAACAATGTACTAAGAAAAACATTTAAGTCAGCGGATTTTCTTTTTCCAAAATTGTATAATTCTCCAAGAAGCAGTGTAAGATAATGGTAAAACAATTATCTTACACGTGACTGTCTGCTTGTAAGAACTTAGCTTGTGTTGGGTTTTTTTTAAGTTCTTGAGTTATACTGCTGAAAATATTTTTAAATATACTGATTTGTGTATCTGTTTCTTATCTGTAAATCATTTATATTCTGCTTTAGATCGACCAGATCCTGATCCATCAGAAAGTTGAGCTCCTGGAAGGTACATTTCATTCATGTAGTTTTTTGCACACTGAAATATGTAGAAAGCAAAAGCTCTAATTTGAGATACTTTTTTTTGGCTTTATTAAGCAGCAAACAAAATAAGTTTTAAGTAGTAATATTTCAACAAAATTTCAAAAAGTCAGTAATTTGGTTTGATTTTTGACAGTTAAGCAATTATAGAAAATATAAATTCACTTTAAAATTGTCAGCTTATTCTAGGAATTTTTGAGTAAGACTGTATCGACATCTGATGGTAAAAATCACGTTGAAGTTGTTTAGCTATTCAGACAGTCCAGTCTATTTGAAACCCCTCTGGATACACTGTGTGCCAGTCAGTGGCCAATCTGCTAAAAAGATTCACTGGGTGCTGGATGAAGGCTACATGCAGCTGGATTTGTACGTTAGATGGTTTTTCTCTGTAATTAAGTTCACTTTAGGGGAGCTACATGCCTCATCACTGCTGAAAAACTAAGACATGAAGCTTTGGTTTAGTCCATCTCTATTTTTTTATTAAATGTTGCTCAATAAGAAACTTGGGTGTTTCTAAGTAGCAGGGTCTTGGCGTACAGGTGGAACATAAACAGGCACATCTTAGAAACCAGGATGTTTCTACATGTCACTGCAACAAAACACACACAAAAAAAGTCAATTTAAGTACTTTTATTTGAAGTATTTTAACATCTCTGTTCCCTGCTCTTCCACAGCTTTCATTGGGTTTGAGACAAACAACCAGTACGAGATCAAAAACAGTCTGGGCCAGAAGATCTACAAGGCCAAGGAGAAGAACGACTGCTGCACCAGGAACTGCTGCGGCTCTCTGCGCAGCTTCGACATGAAGATCAAGGACAACATGGACAGGGAGGTCATCCGTCTCATCCGGCCCTTCCGATGCGTCTCCTGCTGGTGTCCCTGCTGTCTGCAGGAGGTCTGTCCTAAATTTATATCTATTGTGTTGCGTTAGAAGTATGTAATAGCCTCCATATCGTAGATATTTTCCCCACCTTGTGCAGGTGGGGAAAATACAGGACTGTACAGAACAATACAGGACAAGTTTTTAACACACCCTGAGTGCTTATGTGAAGGCATGGATTAGTTTAGTGACAGAGAAGAAGGAGTGGCAAGAGTTTTTATCTGCTGAAGTAGCGCAGAACTGCCCTTCCCCCACCTGCTGCTGTTGAAGGTTTTTTCTTATTTACAAAAGATTCAGCATCCAATTTGGCACAGAGTTGGGCTTTACATTTATTCAGAAAACGCCTGACTAATGCTACAAAGTTCAGTGGGTGTTTATTGTAGCATTTTCCTTAAATCTTTGTATCAGAATTAAAATAAGAACAGGATTGGATCACATTATTGAAGCTGCTAGACGAGAAACTAGATATTTATCCACTTCATAAAAAGACACCAAACCTTTTTGATTTTATTATTTGACAAAAAAGGACTAAACTTCTCCTATTCCAGGTTTGTTTGAAGTGCAAAAGCATTACTGTTTTCTAAAGTCCAGGATGATTAGAGATTTATTTATCCTTTTAAAACTTTTTTCTCCAAATGTAGCACTTAACATTTTAAGTTTTTGGTAGAATTGCTTCTTAAGCAACATGATTTGGGTCAAACGTTTTAAGTTTCCTTCCAGAAACTTCTCACAATAAGTTTGCTGTAACTCTGGCCCATTCATCCTGAGAAAACTGCTGTAACTGAGTCGGGTTTGCAGGTTGTGCACCTTTTTGGCTCGGGGCTCGAGCCGCATTACCTTTTTCACGATAACCGGATCACGGCTTTGTTACGGAACAGAACTGGCTTTTTTACAAAATGATGTGATCAACTTTCCCATGCTGCTTATTCCTCCATGCAGCTGTTTGAACAGATGAACCTTCAGGTTGCAAATAAGAGTGATGAATACTTAAAATGCAGCCACAGGTCTGTCTTCGTTTAACGCAGATGTTTCCCCGTCATCATCAGAGCTTCTCAAAGTGTTGCACAGCTTGGTGTATGTGAACTTCTGACTCAAGAAAGGAATCAAAACAAACTTTTTTCTCCCATTATTCAGGTATTTAGCCAATAGAAAAAATGTTGGTACTCTGACTGACCAGAAACAGGAACATTTAGTTTGGTTCAATGTCAGAAAGTAAAAAATTTTGTCTTCATATTTCTGGTGTATGTGAACTTAATCAATCATATAATAACTGGAAAATCTCACACAAGTTCATGTCTAATCCAAAAATTTAATAAATGTCCCTATACTGTTTTTTTAAGTGGGTTTTTATTATTGCCACTAGTTTTATAGTTACACATGTAAACGAGTTGATACATTCAGCACAAGAAGTTAATAAATTCGATAAGGAATGGGATCGTAAAGCTTAGAAAGCAGCCACGTACATCCATAAAACTTTCTAAATTAAATGATTAGGAGCATAAAAGGAGCCATCGCCAGTCATAAAGCGATTTGAGAAGAGAAACAATGAGAAATAAACTTGATAAGCGAACACGAAGAAGTAATAACAACAAGAGGAAAGATGAGTAAAGTTTCAGATATGTTTTGTCTGAAACCTCTGGTCCAGAAATGACTTGGGACAGCAAGTCTGTCAAGTCTGTTTACATCAATAAAACCTTGACGGAATGGTATGTGGTGTTTAATATATAAAATGCTTCACCACAACATCACTTTTCATATCCACTATATGACTTGAAGTTCATCTTTAAATATGACTTTTGGTCATATTTGGTTTCTTGTTAAATGGTGGTGCATTAGATTACTTACTGAACACTTATTTGCGATGTTCTAATTAAATTAATGTAACTCTATTTGCACATCTTAACGTAACCAAAAGTAAATTAGACCTCTGTCTTTCATCTCAACTCCTTTCTGCTCAGGCTGTTCCAGTCAGGGGAGGTTTGTTGGGAGTCTGAATGGACCTTTTGTCCATCATAACCGTCTCCTTGTTAATTCCCGGTCCTCTGCCATCTTTACCCCGTTTAATCCTGTCGTTGGGCACAGGCTAGTTCTCACTAGCCTGTGCCCAAATCGATGCCCTCACACACAACAGCTCTCTGTGCGCTCCCCAACCAGAAACCATGTGAGATTTATTACCTCTGTGTCACATTGGTGGAGTCACAGCTTCAATTATCATTCCTGCTGCACTACGTGAGAAGCCTTTTCACGTCGTGCAGAGGTTTGTATATGTTGTCCGTGGTGCAAAGGTGAATCGCCTCCTAACTCTGGGGGGTGACTGCAGGGTTTCCCCCAGTGTATTATAAGCCTGGCGGGCCACCAGGCTTTACTTGTGCTCCCACCAGGCTAAGCATTGAATTTTATTTCAGTCTTTTTAAAAATCTTTGCATTTGTTAAAATTTTATAGTTAGTGTTAAGGTAATAATCTTCCAATCTTTCATTAACACATAACTATCACGTGATATTTTTAAATTTTCTGACAGCTTTAAACATTTTGTAACCCAAAAAACACAACAGGCCTCTGGATGAATTACTAGCAACCAACCACCGGGCGTTTTCTGAGAGAAAACCTTGTAATGTGTGTGTGTGTGTGTGTCCCGCAGATGGAGGTCCAGGCGCCGCCGGGAACCACCATAGGGTTCGTCAAACAGGACTGGCATCCTTTCCTGCCAAAGTTCTCCATCCAGGGACCAGATGGAGAGACGGTGCTGAGACTGAAGGGGCCCTGCTTCGCCTGCAACTGCTGTGGGGACGTCGTCTTTGAGGTGAACTCTCATCTGTCCTTGGAGGAGTAGTTTGAGTTCTGACTGTTCTATAAGCATCGTTCACAATGACCGTGGACTGTTCAGACTTTACAGACGAGGGTTTTTAGTTTTGTTTGGGTTTATTCTGTAACTGCAGGAAGGGATCTGGATGCCGTTTATCTAATAGTTTGTTTTAGAACATTTAATCTGATTGAAAACACACAGTAGCACACTAAACAGGTAGAATGTATTCACAGTAGTTTCTGTAGATCTTCTGGACAAATCTAAGATCTCAAAAAATGTCTCTTTAGATTGTAAGTGAACTACTTCAATGAATTGGTGTTGAGTTGCTTGGTGTCCCTCAGAGTCACTCTCCCGACTCAGTCATTTTTCCTCTTTAATGTGATAGATTGCTGTAATTATTATACCCAGAAGTAAAACACATTTATTTCTTTCTGAACCTAATAAATAGGTTATTTCTTCCTATCAGATTTTTTTGCATACTTTCACTTGCCTGGTTGTAAGATATAATTAGTAAAAAAAAGACAAAAAAAACAAAACAAAAAATGTATATATATTACAATGATGACCATATCATTAAATATATTTGACATCTGATGTGCTTTGTTTTCAAAGACATAATTGCAGGAAGGTAGCTTTAAGACAATTTTGTGAGCCTGTGTGTTCTGTATTTCGCCATCGCTGTGTAGCTGACGGGTAAAGATGGCGAACAACCCATTGGTCGGATCAGCAAGCAGTGGAGCGGCCTCTTGAAGGAAGTCTTCACTGACACGGACAACTTCGGCATTCAGTTCCCGATGGACCTGGACGTAAAGATGAAGGCCGTCCTCATGGGCGCCTGCTTCCTCATTGTGAGTTCCTGAATCCTAGTGATGGTGTCTGATTTTTATTATCTCGCTTAACGCCGTTTATTTTTCTGTCGTGGCTCATCCGCAGGACTTCATGTTCTTCGAGAAAGTGGGAGAGGCTAACCAACGCAGCTCTGTGTTTTCATAACCGAGTGCCTCAGTCCACCTTTGTTGTCCAGTTCCTGTCTTGGTTTCTTCAGCAGAAGTTCCAGCAGAAGTCCCAGCGTTCATTTATAAATGTTAAATGATTAGATTCAGTATTTTTTGGGCTTCTGGCCAATTTGATCATACTAGGAAGGATGTTGATGGTTCCCACACTCCGCAGAGCTTTTACATGTTCATTTGATTTGTGATAAAATGTTAAAAAAAAAATCACCCGTCTTCTATCATACGTAGCTCAACATATCCAAATACTGTTGAATGTGCTTTCTGCTGCCATCTCTCTCTGTGCTTTTTCTTGTTATTGATATTTGTCAACATATATTTTACAATATGTGATTATCGTTGTCATGCTCCTAGAGCATTCATAGTAGGAAAAGTGTAAGTGCAATATACTTTTGGACGCAGAAGTCGTATTAATCACTTTGTTTTTAAAGTCGTGGCAGCATGCAGCTGAGGCCATTGTCATTTTGGTCAGTTATGATTCAATATTCATAGGACTAACAATTTTTTATTTACCTTTTTTATGTAGGCTTCTAGGACAGATGCTATCGTGTAAATACGTGTTGTAGTCTAATGTAGAATGTTATAGCCAATTCACCTGCTCACTATTACATTATTAGTGTAGCTACTGTTTAACCAAAGCAACAAAAAAAAAAACAGCCAAAACAGGCTTGGTGTCACTTCTTAGTTTTAGCTTTTATTCGAGCTACTATTTCAAACTTTGTGTCATTGAACTTGATAAGGAAGTGGTCTTTGTGCCAGTCTGATTAAAAATAAAAACAGAAAAAGAAACCCCTAGGTGTTGCATGCTGATAGGATTTCCCGAAGCGGTAATTTCCCTCGTTTTCTTCTCTGCTCCAAGTTGAAACCACTTGCGTCTACAGGCTGTGGTGCGACATAAAACCATTAAGACTGAAAAGTGAATGATAACGTGCCCATTTAGTGCTTGCCGTGGAAACGGCTCGAGCAGCTGAACTTTACCCTGCAGGTTTCCCTCAGTTTCCTGTGATTGTACGGCCTAAAAGTGAATTGAACAAGTTGTGCGGCACGAATAGGAAGCTAAAAAAAAAAAAAAAAAGAAGTTGTGGTTTGTCAAAGTTGAAGGAAAAAATACTCTCAAAATGAACCTGTGTGAGCTCTCACCTTATGGTGGTTTACGTTGTTTATAGAAAAAGTCAGGTCGTTTGATGAATGTAAATGATCTGCTTTGCATTCAATACTCCCACTCCTAGTGGTTATGCTCATGAAGATAACACGGGCGTGACCCCTGAACCTTTTTTTTTTTTTTTTTTTTGCCACTGACGCTAACTGTTAACATTCATTTCCTTTTACCTTGTGTCAGTAATCTCATCTCCAAAGAAGCCAAAGTGTGTAGAGTGCAGATATTCAGTTTAATTTGCAGTGCATGCTTTTGTAACATACAAGTGTAACCTTTGAATTTTTTATTACAAACAAAAAACTCAAATTAAACCGATGTTACTTTAAACCTGCGTTTGTGTCACTGTTGGTCTGGTGTTATTGTGCATGAAAACAGAGGGGTGGGATCGAAGGCTTTTGATCTGTGTGTGTAACTTCTGCTTTCACTTCTGTGTCAGGAAACCACAATCGCTTCGTCGAAGGACACGTTGCTAATGTTAGTCTTTATCTACCGTGGAGATGCTGACAGAAAGATGAAATGCATGTCCCACTAAAGGGAGAACAAAAGAAGAAAAAATGGAGGAAAAAAAATGGTGTCACACTAGTTGTCTCAGAGCTCCCTCACGTGGAAGCTTGTGAAAGTGCTGTTTTCTTTCTTTTTTTTAATCAGTAACACCCTCTCTACATGAACATGTCTGGACATGTTCATTTAGAAAAAATACATCACTCAGTGTCCAAATATTAATTAAAGCTGCAAACAATTTTGGAAATAATTTGGGAGTTTTAAATTCACCAAATTAAAATTTTTGGGTGGAAAACAAGTAGTTAGAAATCAGCTGTCACTTTTCAGGCCTAACAATGTTTTTGTTCTTTAGAAATAAACGCTCGCTTGTTATGGGAGTCCAAAAGGTCTTGAGTTGTCAAAATGTCAATTTTGACAACTGGTCAATTTTCATGAACCAGAAAGCACTTGATGGATCTGTGATGCAGTCAGATCAAACATGCCATTCAAGTGAGGTTTGCCGATTTTCATGAACCAGAAATGGCTACAATGAAATATCTACACACCTAAGCTTCCCCATAACAAGACAGCAGTGAATACAGTGTGAAACAACTAAAACTCAAACGTAAAAGACATGCATTGTGGCGTTTATCCCGTCACAATGCACAACGCATTCAGGAAGTAGACAAATAGATAGACGTGTTACACAAAGGCGGGTAGAGTTGCTAAAAAATGCACTCAGGTAAAAGGAGCGCTGGTTCAAAGTAGAAATGCAAAGGAAAGAGCTGCAAAACATCAGAAGTTCAGCTTGAAAACGTATCAAACTCCTGGCAACAATTAGAAGGCAAACACATACCAACTGGCTGGGAGTAACTCGCTTAACAAATATAAATGTGATGCTAAATGCTAACACATGTTAGCATTTAGCTAACAAATATTATTAGTGAAATAAATTAGCATTTATTTAGCTAACAAATAAATTGAGCTAAAAGTCTGATTAGCTAAATAATACATTGAACTAATAAATGTATTATTTATAAATTTATCACATACATTTAAATATTGCTTTTTTTCTGTGCAATAAGAAAGCACCTGATGGATCTGTGATGCAGTCAGATCAAAGACCAGCCTCGTTAAGGTAAAGGATGTTTCTTCATTAAAAATAAAATAAAATCTGGTGGCCTCTGCTAGATAGACGTGTTACACAAAATGTCAATTTTGACACCTGTGGACTAGATGATCCTAAAGGCTGTTTACTGTAAGAAAAATAAAACATAGACCCAAATACCAGACTACAGTTTCTGTCGTGAGGTAATCCATGCATTTTAACTACTGTATTATATGATTATTCAAAAAATAGAAGGTTATTTAAGACAGAAATTGTAGATACTGGTTCATTTTTATCTACATGTTTATTCAACAAAAGCATGTCTAAGACTACATTTACACATACATTCATCCACATAAAAAAAACATGCTAAATAATGGCACAACGAGAGAAGGGAAAAAGTAAAAATATTAGTTGGAGGCTTTTAGTCTCTGGTAAACCTTCTGTTTCTGCTTTGATAGGCTGAGTCCTGCTCCCGTCGTAAAGCAGCTGGTTCGGGGAGCGCCTGGTGCCGCAGTGGGTCTCTGTGAAGCCAGGTGTGGCTGACGAAGTCCGGCTTCAGCCAGTCGAACATCTGCGAATCTCTTCAGACCCGTCTCTCTGCACTAATGTGAGGCCGATCCCTCTCTCCGGCGCCGGGCCTGTCCTCCCGGGTCACCCGGATAAGGTATCTGCTGGCCTGCTCCAGGTTCCACTGGTGTTTGTTCAGGATCTTCACGCAGTCCTCTGCAGAGCAGAGGCTGAGCAAGTAAAGCTGCTCGACCTGAGGAGACAGAAACAAAACTTAAAACGTTTAGTTTCATGTTTTTATTTGGATATTATGAGTGGGGTTCTTGAGCGTCTGCATTAGCATTCAGTGGGTCACATTGACTGTTGGCCAGTGCGGCATTAGAAGGACATCAAGGTGTCTGTTGCTTCCTAAGCTGGTTTCATTCTTTTGTATTCTGAACAAAAGCTATTTTTAAAAAATTCTACTTTAATTTTTTAAGTTGTTTTGTGTTTAAAGAGGCTCTAGTCACCAGTCCTTTCTAGGTTTATGAATACAACGCGACACAGAGGTCCATTTCTTCACACTGAGAAAGACGAGAGCACGCCATTCAAGTGAGGTTTGCCGATTTTCATGAACCAGAAATGGCTACAATGAAATATCTACACACCTAAGCTTCCCCATAACAAGACAGCAGTGAATACAGTGTGAAACAACTAAAACTCAAACGTAAAAGACATGCATTGTGGCGTTTATCCCGTCATAATGCACAACGCATTCAGGAAGTAAACAAATAGATAGACGTGTTACACAAAGGCGGGTAGAGTTGCTAAAAAATGCACTCAGGTAAAAGGAGCGCTGGTTCAAAGTAGAAATGCAAAGGAAAGAGCTGCAAAACATCAGAAGTTCAGCTTGAAAACGTATCAAACTCCTGGCAACAATTAGAAGGCAAACACATATCAACTGGCTGGGAGTAACTCGCTTAACAAATATAAATGTGATGCTAAATGCTAACACATGTTAGCATTTAGCTAACAAATATTAATTTATTAGTGAAATAAATTAGCATTTATTTAGCTAACAAATAAATTAAATAAAGTCTGATTAGCTAAATAATACATTAAACTAATAAATGTATTATTTATAAATTTATCACATACATTTAAATATTGCTTTTTTTTATTGTGCAATAAGAAAGCACCTGATGGATCTGTGATGCAGTCAGATCAAAGACCAGCCTCGTTAAGGTAAAGGATGTTTTTTCATTAAAAAAAAATAAATTCTGGTGGCCTCTGCTAGAAAGCCTCTTAACACAGGTTTTATTTTCCCCTGATGAAACCTACTCAAGTAGACATTTTTCAGTTTGAGATTAAGCTTATAATAAAGAAACAATATTTGTTTTATGTTGAGGCCATTTGTACATGTTTGGCAGCATATTTGTACTAGACTGCATTCTTTCTGTGTGTGTCAGTTTCCAGTCCCACCTTGAGTTGTTGCTCGGCCCGGACTGGATTCCAGTCGTTACACTGAAGCGCACTTCGCACCTCTTCAGTGGTCACGCCGTGCACGGCCTCCATCACCTGAGCAGAGCCACAAACAGCTTTAACACCCAAGCACTGACGCTTTAACGGAGAAGAATAAAGCATTGTGACCAATCAGAAATGTCTCTCTTACCTGTGCAACAAGACTCTCCTTTGTGTTTTGTGGATAAGGTGGTTTCTCTCTCGCTCGCTCCCTTTGGTCGTCATCCAGCTGCGGCGTTGAACGCGCCATCTGGGACATTTTAACCGGGTTGGAGTTCAGCATGCCCTGCTGAGGAGGAAATAGAACCGGGGGTTGTGTCTGCTGCGACGGCGGGGACAGGATCATTTGTGAAGGCCAGGATGGGGCCACCGGTGCCGGGGGCTTCCTCTGGGTCCTCGGGTTCAGACGGGCCAGGTTGGGCAGCGGTGGCCGGGGAGGGGCAGGAAGGTTGGCCTCACTCAAGCGCCGCGGATCCTTCGGCACCATCATGCTCTGGGCGACCATGGCGTGGGCCATGAGCCGGCCTTGTTGATCCACTCTGAAAGGCGCTGTGGTCTGAGGCTTGGGACGATGGCCACCTAGGACCGACTCCAGGCTCCGAGACATACCTGAGAGAACAGAGACATAAATATTCAACAAACAGATTTTAGCTAGGAACCAGAAAAATCTTTGGGAACCACTGATTTAATTGAAGTAAAGAATGGCAGATTTTTCACATTAAATATGGTGAATAATCTGAATTTGAAAAGTGATTTTTCCAGTCATACTGATCACTTAAAGCACTTTCCACTGGCTCACATTCACATTTTAAATGAAAATGTAGCTCAGCTGCTGTTGCAGAAAAACAGAACTTGAGCGAATTTCTTGCATAAACTATGATGGCAAAACAGTTACAGAATTAAACCAACAGGGGGCAGAGTGGCATGGTGAATACTTTTCAAATATATTGTTTCCTGTAAAACCAGCAGATATTGAAAATATCAGAGTTTTAACATTAAAGTGTTTTATCAAAAACATCATGTTTTAAAGAAAACACTTTTTGTAAAAAAATGAATACATTTAAGGTTTAGCAATATTTAATTTTTCTATTTTTTTCCTATTTGGTGGAACAGTTCTCAGCGAACCACTTTTGGGTTCTAAAGAGTTGTTTCTTTTTTTTTCTGTAATGCAGCAGCGATTACCAGCTCAGTTTATTTTTAGCTCTTACCTGCCATTTTCTGCAAGTTTGTTGCCTCCCGCTCTCTGCCAGATCCCATCTTCCAGCTGCTTTTGCTGCAGGCATGAAAACAATAAACACATTAAACTGACAGTCAATAGCCACCTCCATTTTTATTAACCCTCCTGAGAGAGAAATGTAGAAAGCCTCAAAATAAACTCATAGTTGCCTGAATTTGCATAATGTCATAGATACAAATATAGGAAATCTAACCAGTGAGGGAGAAATAAATAGGCTGGAAGAAAAACAGATTTTTATACTTCACCAATTATTTGCATTCCTGTTGTTAATATCCTTTATCATCCAATGAAAGCCAAATATAAATCACAGAAACTGCAAGGTTTCTGTACAAAAAATCAACAGGAATTTCAAAGAGTTCATGGTAACATTGTTCCCAGACTCAGACATCTTCAACATATTTTTACTTAAGTAAAAGTAAAAAGTAAATGTAATTTGGCCAAAAGGTTAGTTAGGCATTAGCTAACTGGCCATTAATTATATCTGAAGTCCTGAAATGGAGGAATTAGACAGAAACATTTTAAAATGATGTGAAAATTTGGATACTTTAAAAACTAAAATAAAAACAAATAAGTAACTGAATTTCACAATAACACAGATGACACAGAAATCAATAAACATCACAAATACGACAAAGTTTTGAGATAGTCCAGACTCTTTAAAGAATCAATATAAAGTATGGGTTTCACTTTATGAAATGATTCACAAGAAATGCACCTGTCAATGTTTCTAAATGATGATAAACCTAAAAAGTAAGATTTAAATTACAAAATGCTTCCATATGGTTTCAGTATTTGGTGAACATGTAATTTTGTTTTCTCAAATCTTCCCTTTTTCAGGAGTGTAAGCCACAGAAGTAAAAGCAGAACTTATTTGAAGACGTTTTAAACATGTTTGCCCAGGGTGCCGATTAATATGACACGTGCTGCATGTTGACTGACAACAGGTCAAAGTTCAGCGCATAGCTGAACTCAATAAAAGACAATAAACTCCCTGTCTGATGACACAAGGACATCAAAACATTGAAACGTGCTTAAAAATCAACAATTTTTCAGCGTTTTTGCTGGCTTTGTTTGAGAAATAAAGAATTTTTTGCAAGCAGAAGCCACAAAAATAGTGAGAACACAAAACTTTGGCACCAGCCCATCCACTTTCTTTAGCACAAAAAACAGCTGCGCTATGCGTGTGGCGGAAGTCCTCGCTTGTGTAAGAAAATAAGTAATTTTTGTATAAGTTAAATGACATTTTAGATACAACTTGGTCCAGCCGGGCAACTACTGAGTCACTTTACAGCTGGGGAAGTTTCTCTTTGTCTGTCGCAGTAGATGATTGGCTCAACATGCAGCACGTTTCTAGATACTGTCGTTTCCACCGTGCTTGAAAATGAGGGCGGTTATGAGGAAACAAACTGATAAAATTTCTCTCTAACTAGCGATTATAAGGAAGGACTTCATGGAAACAATAACTGAACTAAATATATCCAGTGTTAGATGGAAAAGTGAGTGAAGGAGGAGAATTACTGACTCTTCCAGCCCTTCAGGTGAGCCCCAGCTGCGGTCAGGGTGGAGGTCTCCATGCCCGAGGTGCTGCAGGCTGCCCTTCACTGGGTTGGAGATGATGGAGCCGCCAGAAGGTGGACTGGGCCCCGCAGAGATGGCGGGCATGGTCAGGGTGGCGGGAAACATGCCGATGGCGAGGGTCCTCTGGTTCTGGCCACGCCATTCGCTCATTTCCAGCCTGCAGACACAGAGACGAGGAGGAAATCTGCTTAAGAAGAAAAAAAGTGAACCTCAGTGATCAGAAGAGGAAAATAATGCAAGGGAACTCTCAGTGTCAGTTTTATATTTTTAGGGTTTAATTGGGTCTTAAATCTTTTATGAAAAGTGACAGAATGTATCTTCATCTTAAATGTCTCAATCAGACAGGAGTGTAATTTAAAATGTACGTTTACTTACAAATTTGCTATAAATATTTATAGCAAATATAAGTATTTATATTTATAAATAAAATTTATACTTTTCCAGAGAGTAATCAAGCTAACTTATTGTTTTCACAGCATCTTAATTTGATGCTGTGAACAGCATCCAGTGATTCATAAGTCTGCTAGAGTCTCTCCTGCTTTTTAAACTGACAGTTTTTTTTCCCTTCTTTGATCTAAACGATGTTTTATATATAGTTTTTTAAGAAGTTTTTTTTTTGTGTGAACCTATACCTAATGATGCTGTTACACCTTAATTTCCCCTTTGCAAAACAATAACTATCCAGTTTCTATTCTACTCTTTTATAAATGAGCTGAGATAAAACAAATTGCAGTTTTTATAGTAACTTACATTAGTTAAGCTTAATTGAACACATGAATCACATGGCTAAATTAGTCTTATATATACTTAAATAAGTTCATTAAACATTGCAAAAGAAGAAGAAAAAAGATGACGCCAAACAAAAGACCAATAAAAACAAAGAAAGTGCATACTTCAGATTCATGATGGCATATAAAAGCTCTGCAGCAGAGATGCAGTGAAGCTGCTCGACTCGTCCAACAAGCAAAGCTGAATGCATTCGAGGAGTCTGAGATTACCGCTGGAATGCACTTCAGAGGGAAAGCTGAAGTGCAGTCCGCCGTTTTAAACAACAAAGGCTGATTGTGTCAAGGTTTTTTTTTCTCTCTAATCCCACTCTTCCCTGTTTCTCACTCACCCATGGTCTATGACAGTCACAGTGTCGTTTGGAGCGAGAGGAAGTTTTCTGGGCTCTGAAAATTCTCTTGTTGCTTGGAACTGTGCCGGCTTAGCCTGGAAGCGAAGATAAAAAAAAGAACATTAGACGTGACGTTCGAGTGTAACCAAAGCAGCGTTTCAAGACGCTTACAGGCTTAAATGGTGAAAAGAGATGAGATTTCATTACTGAGACCGACCTCTGCCAGCATTGCAACGAGATTGGCAAAGTTGGGCCTGTCACTTGGGTTGAGGGCCCAACACTTCCACATGACGGCGTACAGCTCCTGAGGACAATCTGGCGGCTTCTGCAGTCGCTCACCTTCCTGCTCCACACTCAACAATATCTGGACCAAAGAGAGTTAGTCTGCTGTGATACCACAACACTGAGTCAGAGATGTGACAAATGGTGCGTAAAGGGTGGAGGCGCATTCCAAACGTGTCAGCGAATATGTTAGGTGGCTCTAAAAAAGCATCAAAACAACACTTGGATGGTGCTGCAAGCCTGTACCTGTCTTCCCGAGAGACCAAACCAGGGCTCTTCACAGTAGGTGAACATTTCCCACATGGTGATACCAAACATCCAGACGTCAGAGGCATGGGAAAAGGAGCCGACCCGGAGACTTTCAGGGGCACACCTAGAGAAAGGGCTGCTGTTGTCATTACATACCCAGTGACTGGTTTTAAACGTCTGGTTCTGTTGATTTAGCGGATTGTGGCTTACAGCTGGAGAAAGTCCTAATTGACTGTTTTATAGCGATTTACGTCCAAAGTGAGCACATTAAAAACTATAGAATGGAGTGAGCACATTAAAAACTATAGTATGGATATGTTCTGTTTGTTTACTGGTTTATTTGGATTCGCATTAGCCCTTGCCGTAACGAAGGCAACACTTTCTGTACAGGATATGCACTCAGTGGCTCTCCAGGTTGTTGGCATTGTTGAGTCTAAAGTCTCCGTTAGGTCTTCTGTGTTCTCCAGGTCAGTTCGTGGATTTTTATTTTTCTACTGAAGACACGTTGGTGTCTTTAACAGTGTGAGCAGAGATCCAGCCCTGCTGGAAAATTAAATCAGCACCTCCAAAGTCAGCTAATACCTCAGGTACTGTGAAAACGTCGCACTAAGTGGCTTGGAGTTTGCTCCTCTCAGCTCTTTCAGCTATTAAATAAGCTTTGCTTTGTAATTAGGACTGGGCAATAAATCAACAACGACAGATAATACGTCTGATAACTTCTCTGAGCTCCAATTCAGAACCGCACAGCAAATGAAACGTCTGACACCAAAGTGTCCAGTCGACTAACCAGGCAAACGGGATCCTCTTGTGTGCTCCCATGATGTAGTGGTCCGTCTCCTGACTCAAGCCCCGCATCAGACCGAAGTCTCCGATCTTCACCACCTCCTTGGAGGACAGCAGCACATTTCTGGCAGCTAAGTCCCTGTGGATGAATCTCCGGCTCTCCAGGTAGTCCATACCTGCCGCAATCTGGGTGGCAAAGAGCCAGAGGCGCAGCAGCGGGTACTCGAACTGCCGCGCCCGCAGGGTGTCGTATAATGAACCCAGAACGGCCAGCTCTGTTACCTAAGCGGTAAAACACAAAAAAACAGGGCAGTGTGCATCGCCGCGCTGAAAAACAGGTGGGACTTTTCCAAAATGTGAAGTATCAGCTCACCATCTTGAGGGGCTGTGTGAGGACCACGCCGTAGAGTCGGATGATGTGAGGGTGGTCCAGGGACTGCATGGTGGTGACTTCCTGCAGGAAGTCTGTGAGAGTGTCAGTCTGCGTGGACCTGCTGCTCCTCAGTGATTTGACAGCCACAGGGAGCTGAGGATTCATAAAAACACACACACACACACAGGTTACACACAACATCACGCTCCCCACTAATGTTCACACCGGCGACAATCAGATCTCCTGTGTGGTCTCTTACTCTGCCTGTCTGCGTGTGCCACTCTCCCCTCCTCACCACACCGAAGGACCCCGAGCCCAACTTCTCCCCCAGAACCAGCTCACTGTCCTGGATCAGACGAGCTGCAGTCCTCTCCTGCGGCTGAACTGGGCCGGACTGTTCCCCTCCGTCTCGACTGTTGAACACCTGTGTGAATCAGCGCACTCATTAGAAACTCCCCACCACAGTTCAAACATGAGCATCGCTTTGAAATAATAATAAAAAAAAAGTTCTGCAAAGATTGCTAACAGACCCTGGGAATCCATCCTCGTGAGCGCGAAGCTGTCTTGTAGCGTTTCAGGGCTTCCCATAATCGTCTTTGTGCTGCAAAACAAAACGATAAGGCTGTCAGTGTTGCCGACATCTTCATCTTTCTTCATCTCTGACTCTTTTAACTCCCCGAGCTCTGCGTTTTTGGAACAGGGACAGTCTGTTCTGGGGATCACAGCGGCGCCGTACGTCTGGGAGCAGTCCCACATAAAGACACGTCTCCCCTACTGGTCAGCAAAGGGGCAAAGGTCAGCAGGGTTATCCATAAAAGAAGAGCTATCTGTAAGCTCTCCGCTTCATTCAGTTGTGTTTGTAGCATTGAGGTTGTCATCAGCACAGCCACATTGCCTGCTTGTTGTTAGGAATCTGGATTAATGTCGACATGAGAAATTATTTGAAAAACAAAAAGAAAAAGAATTTAAATCGGCAAAAAAAAGAAACCATTTTGAATATCTAAGTTGAAAAATATTACATTAAGTATGCAGGGCTTCCTGCAGTGTATTATAAGCCTGGCGGGTCACCAGACTTAACATTGTTTATTTACTTACTTTTTCTTAATTATTACCTTTTTTTAAAGACGTTATAGCTTGTCTATAGGCATTGCATTGATCTTCTAGTCTTCCAATAATGCATAACTATCAAGTGACATTTTCAAACTTCCTGTCAACTTTAAACATATTTTTTAACACAGAACCACAGGGGGTGGCTGGATGAATGACTGCTGAGCGTCCCGAGCCCCGGGGTTAGAAGGTTTTCTGGGGGAAACCCTGGGTATGTAACGTTTCACTGCTTTATTTATGAGGGGAAAAAAACCTCGAAAATATTGATATACACACAAACAAGTGGGTGAATAACTCTTCATCAATAACAGTGTGAGATTCACGTTTTATGGGATTTAACTAAACAAGATACATAACATGATCCATGTGTATTTATTTAAAAAAGATAAGAGGCAACTGTTAACACTGTTGCAACAATAATTTAATGTCATGATAATTAGCAGGAAGATTCTGATTTTAAAATAAGGGCCTCAAAAAAAAATCTGTATAGTTGCTTATTTGAAGGTGTTCTCCCTCTTAGCCCTGGGCTACTGCTAACTGATATAAAAAATGAACACGATGCATGATATTTTTCATGCAACATGCTTTGCACTAAACAACGGAATAGCATGTTGCAGCATTAAATATAAATGTACAACTTTTTGACGTGTTCAAGTGTTTTATGGACGATATGAACTCAGCTACATCAGAAAATACATTGTTTGCCACGCAAAATGCCAAAGTAGCCAATAGGGCATCATTTCATGTGACAAACAAATAGGAAGGTATTCCAAAGGCACTTCAGTACGATGAGTATTTCAAACTCTCGTTTCTACAGGTTCTCGAGCAAGAGAGGACATATTTTCGTCCTACCTAAAGACTAGGAGATTCCAGCCAGCGTGAAAACCGAAAGCCCCACCTGGCTTGCTGATTCCGATGTGCTCCAGGTCCGACTCCTTGACATAGTTGAAGTGCTCCACGCGGGTAATGTTGAGGCCGTCTCGGACGCGGACGTAGAACTTCTCCAGCTGGACCTCAGCCAGCAGCTGGTGCAGCCACTGAGTGTCCTGGTCCATCAGCATGACCTGGCCCAGACGAGCCTGTCGGCAGGAAGACGGAGGCCTGTAGAAACTCTCAAATATTCACAGTTCTGCTCATGCGGTTTCTTCCACTGAATCATCTGCATCACGGCCAAAAACAACCGATTAGAAAACCCCGTTTTGTGTCAGCGATTCTCCTCCCAAAATCGACCCTGCTTGACTAAACGTCCCTCGTTGCCCTGGAAACCTAACAAAAAGCTCTTGATGTGGGGGATGGGGTTTATTGTTCAGCTTGAGTCTGAGTTCAAAGTTCGAACAGTTTGTCTGGAAGCATAAGCGTGTAACGGTGCACCCTAATAAATCTGAACATTGATTAAACATTCATTTATTGAATTAATTCAAATGTTGTTTTTGTTCCTGTTAATTCTGATTATTCTTCCTAACAGCTAAAAAAAAAGTAAAATTTTGTTACTTGTAAAGTTTAATAATATATAAAAATAATTAAAGCATTTCTTTTTTTGTTAATTAATCATCAGGGAAAAGCCTGTCCATGCACCATCCACTGAGGCTCCTTGTGCATGAATTACTGCATCAATGCGGCGTAGAATGGAGGCGTTTGTCATTGTTGGTTCTGGTGTCTCTCATCTTCCTCTCAACAGTACCTAAGAGATTCTTTATGGGGTTCAGGTCGGTTTTGTGGGCCATCAGTCCCAGGTACGCCACAGTCATTAACCCAGGTGTTGATACTTTTGGCAGTGATGGTCTTGATAGACAACACAGCATCACAAATCCCCACTGACTGTGGAAACTGCACACAACTATTTACTTTAATCCAAAACGATGATGTTAAGCCACTCAATAACAGCCAAGAACTTTTTCCCCCTTTGCCAAACAAGCTTCTGATGTCTCCTCTGAATGGGAGCAGGGAAAACAATGTAGCCCACGTTGTGAATATTTCTGTCTGCGGTGTCTTGCAAAGCACCGACTCCAGCCACAGCCCACACCCTGCCAATACCACAGCGCTATGTGGACAGCCAGCTTCTTTAGCCACAACTCTTTGTGTAGGGCATCACTGATTGTCTGGAGAACACTGACAGCCAGCAGCCGTCTCCAACATGGTGCAGGCTGTTATGTAACATTCCTTTATAATTATCATAAGTCGTTGGTCTTACGTAATTTCTGAATGTATTACGACGAACAAAAATGTCGCATAGGTAACATTAATGCAGGCTTGAAGTACGTATGTGTGTGATTAAGTTACACGAGTTTCACTTTTTGAATTCGGTGACAGAAGTAAATGATCTTTTCCAAATAAATTAAAGACAAAAAAGATAAAAGATGATTATGCTGAACACAAAAACATTTTCTTTCCTTTTTGCAATATTTAAGTTAAGAGGCTTTTCTTCATTCGAACCTCAGCGTCATCAATGCTCCTGCGGCCTGCTGGAAAACTAGGAGGGGGAAACTTCGGCCTGCCTGCGGCTCAGAGCCACCAGTTTGACCAGATCCTGCATAGATTGTATCTATTTAACACTCTGGAGTAACACAGAGCGTTGATAGGGCACAAAGAGGGCAGCGTCACTTCATATTAACCCACGATGATGATGGTGTATGCTCCATTTCCGGTTTCATCTCAGCCACTGTTACAGTAAATATTGATAAGCGGGACGTTGAAGCCTCCCAGGTTTGAGGTCACTGGAAACCGCCTGCTTATCGGCAGGTTTCAGTCAGTGAGCTTCAGCTTTAACTCTCCCTGGGAAAAACAAAGAAACAAATCTCTGCAGCAGGCAGGCTGACAGTCAAGGCTGCTCAAAATGAACAATTAAAGTGCAGAAACCCACAAGCTGAGACTTGTGCTCAGTTTTACGGGAACACTCCCAAACTTAATTAGTCTGCAAATACAGAAGAAGGGACATCATTTCCAGCATTTAAACTCCTATTAAAAACATGAATTAAGCTGAACAGGGAGGCTTATGATCATCACTTTTTGTGTACAGAGGGTTGAATGTTTAACCTGTTCATACCCTCACGGTATGTGTGACCATGAGCTCAGTTATTTACTTCATGACTCAAATGTGGCTTAAAAAAAAATCAACCTAAAGAACCTGTTAATGACACAGGTCTTACTATGTGATCTTGACCAATCAAGTGAAGTGTGATCCAACTAAATCGTTTGTTTATTTCGCTGATTCACATGCAGATTAACCCATTTAGAGAGAGGCTTGACTCATGCATGACTTTATTTCATTCCATAATTTAGGCCATTGTTAGGCATCAAGCAGTCTAATCCTCAAACCTAAAACGGTAAATGAGACCCATAAGTAAAAGAAAAATACAAATAAAGAAGGATAAATACATACCTTCCAAACAGCAGACACTGACATGTCATTTGATTAACTTTAAAGTGATAAATAAATCCACTTTACGAGTTATTCATTTAAAGTTGTGTCTATTCCCTATATCGCCATTGACTTTTGCCAAAATACGAGCGTGTGACGTTGTGCCTGTTATGGTTCCTTACCGGTGAAAATAAATAATAGTGATGAAAGAAGTTCAGTCTCCTCCAGTCGACGGCTCTGTCTTCAACCACACACGACCAGAAACAGCTGAATCATGTCGGAACCGAAACCTCCAGCAGATCCCAATGCAAATAATAAACAAACAAACAAAAAAATCTCGATCCAAATCCTGGTCACGAAATGTCTTCACAACATTTTCACCAAGCGAAAAGCGCCAGCATGGGCCGCTTCCAACGAGGAAGTGTCTCTATGAGGGGTTTTTATGGGTTTTTCTTCCGAACTGTACGAGGCACAGAGTGTACCTGCGATCTACCTGCGTGTTTCTGGCACTTGCTCCACCCTTCCCTGCTTTCTCACCTGGCCACGCCCCTTCCTGAGTTTTTCTCACCTGAGCCGCAGGAGGAAAAGCCTCCAGAAGCTGCAGGTTGAATCATCATAACATCAGCTGGAACCGGCTCCTCAAATGTAAACAAATCAATAAAATTCATTTTAGTTCATTCTAAACATATTGTAAATGTGTTTATAATATATAGCAGCTAAATATTACAAATTTAGCTGTTACATATGTTTATTAGTTTATTTTTAGTTCATTTTTATTTTACCTCTGGGATTTATCCTCTCTTAGAAGGTTAAAGTTTTGTCAAAGTTTGTGTTTCAGTACGTTTGCACCTTATAAGGACAATTTAGTGTACTATTACAAGTTTATAAGAAAACAACTATGCTTATCGTTTTATCTCTAAGCAAATAAAACAGTACCGTCTAACATTAGCTAGTTGACCAGAAAACACAATTTTTACAAGTTTTAATTTAGCAAAGTAATTTTAGACAGTACGACTCATTCAGCGACTTGGCTGCTTTTTGAACAAATTGCCTAAAATTGCTTGTCCATTGACCTATTAGTCTAATTATTATGATTAGTATTTTTTTCCTCTTTTTACTTTTCTGTCTGTTCAAAATAAATAAATAAAATAAGCAGCCAGATCACTTCAGTTAGTTACTTTTTTCATTGGTTAGTTGTAACTTACTGAGCTTTAAGTTCAGTTAGTAACCATGTAAAAAGCCTTTGTTCATTAGTTAGTCACAAATGTCAGTAACATGAGACTGACAAAGGATTTCTTGTTAGTGACCATGTGCAGTTAATCTTGGTTGTTAAATTAGTTAATGGTTAGGCTACTTAATAGAGGAAAAAATTGATGGACTATTTTTTCAACTCTCACCATCAAAGTCAGTGAGATTTAATGTACTGAGCAGGTTTTTCTACTTTAGATTCTCTAGAAACAAGTTTGTGACACAGTAAATAGTTCCGGCAAACAAAATCCTTTCGTCGCCATCGTAGGTTGATCTAATTTTGTCTTTTCTTTCACTTCAGGCACAATAATATGCCAGAGACGTTTGGATTGCAGCTAACAATAAAAAAACAAAAAATGTACAAGAAAATGTTTGTTCCTTTTAGTCAATTTATAACATATTGGCTGGGGTAATTTTCTTTTACAGTTTCTAGGAATATTCTCACATAACAACAAAACTTTTCTTCACTGTTCAGGCATTTGGAGTGAAGCACGTGAAAAAATAGTGAAACCAGAGAAACATTCACAAAGCCTAACTCTGAACACGACTCCGCTTCCCAGTGTTCAGACTGTGATCTTCAGCACGTTAAAGAAAATGAGATTAGGATTAAAAAAAAGATGATTGCGATCAAAAATCTCTTTCAAATGAGTTTCCTGGCCATAAGAGTCCAAGCTTTTCTAGTTTGCATCCGGTTTACAGACTATTATTGCAATGTGTTGGCATTTTTAGACACATCATCAGACTTGTTTTATCTGTCGCGTGACTTACCTCATTATTACATTTGAAACTGACTCATTTTGGAAGTTTACTATTGCAATAGCTGCTTATTCTTTGTTTGATTAGACTAAAACAAAGAGAAAAATTGTCAACAGCAATGAGTCAAAGAGTCAAATGCAAATAGTTTTCAGCCTATCTCTCTTTCTGTCATACCTGCTGTCTGTTGCCAAACAAGTTTAGCAAGATTTGATTTATGGACAGGCAGCAGCAACTTCCTGGTACAGTGTCTCCTCAACACGACTCTTCGACTGAAGTCCCTAAAACACACAAACAACTTCAGTGGAGCTGCAGTCCAAACAGGAGAGGCCTCAATGATCTGTTTTCACTTCTGTCACGCATTTTAGAAACAACCAAATGAGCTGCAGGGTCTATACAACAAATCAACACGACTGTGTGAAATGATAAATATAAAATTGTAAAAATAAATGTCAAAATTAAACTTATTTTTAACCTATTTTTTAAAAAAGGCTAACAAAATATGTAAGCTTCAGAATTTGACCTGTGTTCAGAATAAAAACACCTTTGGTGCGTTTGAAAGTCCTTGTAGCTAAAAGGAGTGTAATCGTGTTTGAACTCTTGTCTCGCAGAGTCAGCTCATAGTGAATGAAAATCCGAGTTTCGTGAGTGACACATGCGACAAGGAGAAACCAACTCAGGAAATATTTCTCAAAGGTTAGAACCGTTCCAAAGAAAGAAACATGAAACCTCGCTGACTTCACCTAAAGCACTCGGCCAAGAAAAAGACAGAGAACAAAATCTGCCTCCAGGATGGGCTGTGGTCCCACTGACGACACGACATTATCATGATCTGTGATCAGTGGTGAAAATACCGAAACAGTAATAATGAATCATGAAGATACAGAGAAAGTGTAAATCAAGTTTCAAAGAGAAATTTATGGCTCTCAAGCAATAAAATGTGTAATAGCAAAGTGTAATACAGATCCACACAGGTGTCTGTATGCTTTTTCAACCCAGGACAAGTAGATTCATGCACTCATTACTCACTTCAAAGTTTTAAGTGCAGCTCAGTTTGCCCATAAGAGAAAAAAAATTGTAAATATGAAACATTTCATAGAGGACATAAGGAAAACATAATATAAAATCAATAAAAAAAATAAAAACAGAGTTCATTAGATGAAGCACTATGACAGGAATTCTAATATTGTTTAAAGTAATTGCTACCCTATTCAAACTTTGCTTAACCATACTTTTTTATTTCTATTTTCATCAGCCACACTTATACCTGATTACTCTCAGATATGTGTCATCAGCATATCGCTTACGTACAACCTGACTGCCAACAGGAAGCAGGACATAAGATGTCTCAAAGTAAAACTGCAGGCTCGCATTTAAAGTAATTCAAGAAGAAATGAGAAACAAACTCACTGACACCTATCAGTCTGCGAAGGGTTGCAAAACCATTTTGAAGTCTCTGTGCCTCCAGTGAACCCCAGTCTGAGCCATAATCCACAAAAAATGAAAACATAAATCAGTGATTAACCTTCCCAAGAGTCGACGGCCAATGGAGGACCAGAGGAGAAACAAAACACTTTTAGGAGTACTTTTACCGCACTGTACTTTTTTTGTTTACGTTTAACTGAGTAATTTCTTGCTTCTCGTTTCACTTTTTCTTTTGTAGAAAAGGAAATGTAATTTGGGAATATATGTAGAACATTTATTACATAAATATGGGCATTATAAATCATATTTATTATTATTAATATTATTATTATTATTATTATCATTATTAGCTGCCTGCCATGTACATTCTCACAGAGATAAATGGCGCCCTCTTGTGGTCGTAGGAGACAATGCTTTTTGTCACGTCATCATAAAGCGACAACTCAACCTGAGCTCGGCACAGAAAGACAGAAACGTTGCCATCTATTTATTATGATTATTCTTTTAATAAACAGAGGGGATTAATTAAATACAACAGAGCTTCCTTTGGGAAGATTATAATCCACAATCGTTTTTCAATGAATTATGTGACGACTCTCATTCTGTCGCTCTTAACATGTGAGTCTCAGAGGACCGGAGCAGAAAATGCCCAAACTCTCAGAGGCTGAGTTTCCGTCCGGGTGTAAAAGTCTTCCTGAAGGCTTCTGGTCCGCGGTGGAGGTGTGGGTGAAGAAGCCTCATGTTGTCAATAAGCGTCTTTGTGGAGCGACGGAGACGGAGAGCAGAGCTGTGGACTCCGACGACCTGAGGAAGCTGCTGGACAGCAAAGAAGAAGAAGGAGAAGGAGAAGAGCTGCTCCAGGACGTGTTTCAGTTCCTCTGCAGTGGAGTCTCACCTGCACACACCCACCAGAAAGACAAGCCCTGGTCCTGCACGGTCAGGACCTTCATTCCCAAAGTGAACTGTTACGGTGCAAAGCAGCAGAAAGAAGTTGTGTTAAAAGGTAAGAGCTCATCTGAAGCTGGAGTTGTAGTTTCTCGTCACCTGCGGTGTTCTGATCTGATCTATTTCCTGCAGACTCTGACAGACAACATGTCACCTTTCTTCCTTTTGAGGAGGACTCTGCAGCAGGAAGGGTGTCCTTAAAGAAGGGCAACATTTATCAGCTCAGGCTCTGCAGTAAGGGCTGTGAGCAATGGTGAGTTCAAATTTGAAAAACAAAAAACCCAACAAAAAACTATAACCATCTCATATGAGGACCACTCCCTTTTCATATCATGCATCCCTATTGAAGATAAATCTCTGGCTTTTTCTTTTGCTTCTTATCTCTTAATGTGGCATTTAGAAAATAGAAATAATGTTGGTGATTCTAACAGAGCTACAACAAGAAAAGTTTGTTCTGATTTAACTCCAGGCAATGAGAAAAAATGTCTTTTTTACCATGAATAAGCGTCTCATTTCAGCTGTATCTGCTCGTCTACCTGCAGGGCGTTGGAGATGCACGCGTTGACGTCGGACGGCTGGTTCTCTGACGGCGTGGCGTATCCCAAGCTGCCCTGGCTGTCCTCGGATCTGCTGCCTAAACTGGTGCGCTGGGCCGCGGAGTGCAAGAGCAGCGAGTTCAAGAGCACGCTGTCGCTGCTGCCGGTGGAGAAGTATAGCCTCACGTACCAGCAGCTGAAGGAGAAGTACAAGAGCATGGTCAAGGTGGGGAGAGGCCGAGGCTCTGGTGCCGTCTGAGCTTTTCATCCACGGAGGGTTCTCATGTGCTTTCTGCTTTTAGGTTTGGCCTGAGGTCACAGACCCTGAGAAGTTTGTGTATGAAGATGTCGCCATTGCTACTTATCTCCTGGTGGGTTCGGACCTGCTCTTTATTCCTGCTTCAAAGCTTTAAAGCAGTCGGGATGGTGCAGGTTAAATGAGGATATTTTAGTCTTTGATTAAATAAGAAAGATTAGTAGAGACAGAGTTATGCTCTGTGTTCAAAGCTGAGCCCTGACTGCTTAGATTCTCCAGATATCAAGCCAATGTAACTCTGACTGCAGGTGCTGTGGGC